CCCAGAAATTGCTGCATCTTTCTTGACACAATTGAAAATTCAATAGCAAAGATTTGCTCTTAAAATGATTTAATGGTCTTGTTTTTCCCATATTATTTTTTATACGTTTAATGCTTTGGCATTATTTCAGAGAGAAGAAAATTTATGCAGTCCCACCCACTCTTCAAAGTTAGCCTACACACGTTTTGAATATAACTGCTGACTCACACCAGGTGCAGGTGGGGCTATTGGAGGAAAACAAACTGTGTACCCTTTTTTTTGCTGTTGGAACAGGAGAAAACTCATAGCAGGGACTGCAACTAATGGATAAAACTTTAAACCATATCCCCCAAGTTAAATTACAACAACATCTCTTTTGCAGCCCTGATACCATTCAGAATAATTGCAAATAAATCTTCAGTCCGCTGTGCTTAGCTTTTGAAGTAGCAAAATTCATTCCTTAAATCTGGCCAAACATGGAGTTGAAAGTGAGGGATTTTTATACCTTCTTTGCACTTGAACTTCCTGTTCCTGTGCAAGAACATGTATTCTATTGGCTGTTGTCAGACTCCCACGGTGCCATGTACAAATCCTAGGAGTCTGTCTGAGCTAAGCTTGGTTGAAGTTTGGTTGATGCAATGAAGGGGCTTGTTGGGTAATTGCTATTGTGGCTGAGGGCTAATTCTACCTTTGTTAAGACCTTGCTGCAGGGAATTTCTGCCTATGAATAGAGCTAGCTATCTCTTTATCTCTTAAGTCAGAGGTCTTCAAACTTGGCAGCTTTAAGACTTGTGGACTTCAACTCCTAAAAGTTGAAGTCCACGAGTTTTAAAGCTGCCAAGTTTGAAGATCTCTGACTTAAGTGCTGACATCTGCTGAGGGCTATTAAGAAGGACTTGGGCACTGCTTTCTGTCTCCAAGAGCATGTTTCTCTATTTCTCCTTTAGGGAAATATAATATTCTGACTTTTTAATATTTCTAAAATATTTCATTCTTCTGGGAGGGAGTGGCTTCCCGCAATCCACTTCCCGCAATCCCACAAACCATGGCATAAGCAAACATAGCTTAACATTAATGCCTAAGCCATTCTTTAAGCATTTTTCCCATTTCAGAAAGTTTAAATTCAACATAATCAGTAATTTAAGTCATTAAATCACGAGTACAAGCATTTATTTTGCTACAGGCTTTCACCGAGGCACTCAGTTTCACATTCTAAATTCCATCCATTATGTGTTTTAACATCGTTGGCATAACCCTGTCACTCTAGCCAAGTGCCTTTTAGAACCCAGGGCCTTTGTTTAAACCCCAGTCACTTTCACCAGCAGGATAAAAGACAGATTAAATAAAAATACAGAGAGAATGTTCCACGCTCTGAAAATTCGTTCTTTCAGAAGAGAGCACAGAATACAGGACACTTTGCATGCACAATTCTTGCAAAAGGTTATTGTCTCTGTATCTGGTTTCGTCCCTCGAGCGCTGTTAACATTCTGCAATGTCTCCCTTAGTTAGGAACAAGTTGAAACTTCTCACAGGTAAATGTTTTTGTATGCCGTCCAGCTTAATAACCAGCTCAGATGAAATAACAGGCTGATTTTTACACTCTGGAATGTTAGGGTGAAAATATTATGACAAAAAATGGCTGCAAAGAGTCTTAACCCATCCAAGTATTCAACAGAGTTCATATATCCACAGTTCACATTCACTTAATGTGAATGTATTTCATCTCTACTGGCTTTTGCTAATAAAAGAAATAGAAATAGAATAACAGAGTTGGAAGGGACCTTGGAGGTCTTCTAGTCCAACCCCCTGCCCAGGCAGGAAACCCTACACCACTTCAGACAAATGGTTATCCAACATCTTCTTAAAAATTTCCAGTGTTGGAGCATTCACAACTTCTGCAGGCAAGTTGTTCCACTTATTAACTGTTCTAACTGTCAGGAAATTTCTCCTTAGTTCTAAGTTGCTTCTCTCCTTGATTAGTTTCCACCCATTGCTGAGCACCATCTAATTTCCAAAATCAAGTAACCAACTCTGGTGAAGAAAAGATGCTCTGTTCTATAGATTCTGGTATGGATTTAATGTATAAACTATAAATGTAAATTAGACTAAAGAAAATGATTTCTGCAATCTGGAAGTAACAGTAGATTCAGCCTCACCCTGAAGTCTTCAGATAACATCTCATCTCAGTTTTGAACTGCAGTACTCTATTTAGGTATAACTCAGCAACGATTACTATCCTGTATTCATTTATTTGGAAGCTAGTACACTGAATTCAAGCAATCTTACTTCTCAAAAATCACAGTGTCTGGGTTCATCCAACACAAGAAGCCATAATGTGGTTTATTATGTTATATGAACCCTGCATTGCATTTGTAAAGAATGGCTGATGTCACAGTATGCAAGCATTTATTAGTTCATATAATAAATCATTATTAAGGAAATTAAAACCAAGCATGATATGTGAAACAACTCATATAGATTGGTGATATCAGGAGGATAATATTAATTTATTTTAAAGCAGGGGTCTAAGAATTACTGAAATAAAATATTCTAAGTCTGGGTTACACAGATACAATTTGGGGTAGTGGCACCAAGCGAGAAACTGGGAGACAATGAGTTCCGATCCTGCCTTAGGCACAAAGCCAGCTGGATGATCTCGAGCCAGTCATTCTGTCAACCCTAGGAAAATGGCAATGGCAAATCACTTCTGAATTCTTGCCACAAAAACTGCAGGGACTAGTCCAGACAGTCTCCAGAAGTCAATGTTGACTTGAAACCATACACCAAAAAGATTTATAGCTAAAGTGATCTGAAAAGAGAAATACAGATAGTCCTCGACTTACATCAGTTCATTTAGTGATCATTCAAAGTTATAACGACACGGAAAAAAGTGACTTATGATCTTTTTTCACACGACTGTTGCAGCATCCCCATGGTCACATGATCAAAGTTCATATGTTTGGCAACTGATTCATATAAATGACAGTTACATGTCCTGAGGTCATGTGATCAGCTTTTGCGACCTTTAGACAAGCAAAGTCAATGGGGAAGCCATAGTCACTTAACTTAAAGGTGTGACTAACAACTGCAATGATTCACTTAACAACTGTGGCAAGAAAGGTTGCAAAATGGGGCAAAATTCACTTAACAAATGTCTCACTTAGTAACATAACTTTTGGGCTTAATTGTGGTTATAACTCAAGGACTACCCCATTAGTCCTATGTGATATTTATTTACATATATGCTTCCTAAATGCTTAAGGGGACCTGCAGGCCTTTGCCTTACATTTGTTTATTTACTTATTATTACTGCTTAAGAGCTGCCGTGGTGCAGTGGTTAGAACGCAGAACTGCAGGCTACTTCTGCTGGCTGCCGGCTGCCTGCAGTTTGACATTCCAATCTCACCAGGCTCAAGATTGACTCAGCCTTCCATCCTTCCGAGGTCGGAAAAATGAGGATCCAGATTGTTGGGGGCAATATGCTGACTCTGTAAACCGCTTAGAGAGGGCTGTAAAAGCGGTATATAAGTCTAAATCAGTGGTGGGTTCCTCCCGGTTCCGCCAAGCTGGTAGCGGTGATGATACGACATCACCGAACCGGTTCTGCCCCCACCCAGGCCCCCTGCATTATTCTTACCTTTTATTTGGCCCCACCCCCAATCTATTGCTGCCTCCTGAGTCCCAGCTGATCGGTTAGAGGGGAAAAAACTGTTTAGACTCTTGCAGTGGGGCTTCAAAGATCCACCCTACAGCTGATCAGTGTTAAAAGAAAACAAATGAGTAGACCGATGCCTGCAAAAATAAATGGGTAGACCAGTGCCTCCAAAAACAAATGAGTGGCCGGGTACAGCTCTGCAGTTAAAAGCCTGGTAGACCAGTACCTCTGCTAAATCCTAAAGAATTGTCACATGACCATCAAGCCATGCCCACAAAATAAGCCACGCCCACAGAACCAGTAGGTAGTAAAAAAATTTAGAACCCACCCCTGGTCTAAATGCTATTGCTATTGATAATAAGAAAATTATTATCAATAATTTGATAATAATCTCCTATCTCCCTCTTAGAGGACCTCTGGACTGCATACAATATAATATAGTAAAAGCATAAAAACAGCATTTATAACTTATTTTCACAACAACCCCGTGAAGGTGGCTCGAGCCTGGCTAGGTGGTTCAGTGGCTAAGATGCTGAGCTTGTCGATCAGAAATGTCCACACTTCAGCGGTTCGAATCCCGGCAGTTGGACTAGATGACCTTCAAGGTCTTTTCCAACTCAGCTCCTGTTATAATCCTGTTATAAGTAAACCTAAATTCTGCCTGATCAGCATCAGCTCAGCATCAACTCATCACAAGTTTCCAACTCGTTTTCCGCAGCTTGAGTGCCCTACTCCTGGAATCCAACACAGCAAGCACTAAGGTAGTCGAGGAGGCTCTCGTTCATCGCGACTACTCATCCTGCCGCCTTCCAGGGACTATTATGTTCAACAGTGTAGTAGAGCACTTTTCTCCAACCGAAGTCTTTGGAAACGCGGCCAATAATATGCAAACATAAAAACAGAGTCACCCAGCCCGGAGATGGTTTCCAACCCCCCCCCCAAAAAAAATAAAAGCTCCGTCCCATTGATTTCAACCTAGAACGCACCCTCCTTGTCCTCAGAAAGATCCACGGGCGTTCAACCACGCTTTAACTTAACGAGGGAGGAATCCAAGCCCGCTAAAACTTCCACCGGGTTTAGACGGCACCTGTTCCAGCCTGCTCCAAAAGGGAAGGGAGCGTGTGACAATTAAAAGCGGTAATTCGGAAACGCCGCTTCCCCCCCCCCCCCCGGGGGGCGGGGGGGGGGGGGGGGGGGGGGCCTTTTAAAAAAAAAAGAGACCCCCGCGCCTGCGCGGGGTTGGGGGGGGAAGGGGGTCCCCCTTTTGGAACCCCCCCCCCCCCCCGCAGCCGAAACAGGGACGCGGTGCCTCTCTCTGCCCACCTTCCCCCTCCCGCCTCCCGAATGAAAGAACGCCGCAACTTACTTAAGCCGAGGAGGCTCAGCAAAGCCAGGCAGCCCAGAAGTCGCCTCGCATCACCCATTGTTTCCAAGAAGGAGCCGTGACTGAAGCAAAGACGGCGGGCGCCGGGCAAAAAGTGTTCAAGTCCTTGGAGAGCAGCTCCGCCCACCTGGCGCGCTCTTGCAAGCGCCCCCGAGGGTCCCCTCGGAACCGGCGAGCTGCTCCGGCCCTCCTCCTCCTCCTCCTCCTCCCCGCTCGCCGAAGTTTAAGCCCCACCTCCTCTTTCCTCCCTTGCCGCCTCCACAAATTAAAAACTCTTCCGTTCCGGTGTTTAAGACGCTACGTGCAACAAAAGGAGCTTTCTGGCCTCTTGCCCGCTTCCTGCTAATTTCGGGTGAGGGCCAAAATAAGAAGAGAGAAGTAGAAGAGATGCGGGGAACGGAACACAACTTCCCCCTTCAGAGATGCTCTGTCTCCTCTCATCCTCCGTGGGTCCATCAAGGGCTCTTTTAAGAGGGGAAGGGACGGGTGTGTGATGTATAAAGACCCGCTCCGAAAGGGGAGAGAAAGGTTTGGCGGTGGTTTTTGTTGCCACTATGTGGCACTGGCACCTAAGGCAAGTTACATGTTGTGATTTACATGTTGTATTTGGAAGAGAAGTATTTTAGCGGTTTAATTAGTAGGAGTCACCATTCATCCAGACAGAGTGACTCAAGCACGTATGAGCATGTATGAAGGCGTTTGTTGGTCTTTTCTGGATCAGAAGCCACTGCTGATTCCCCTTGCCGCTGGGAAAGAAGACCACCATGAAATCCTCCCTAGATTTGGAAGTCAAAAGCACCCTGAAAAAAAGGCAGTATCAAATCATTTCTGAGCTGTGGTTAAAATGATTGTGTGGATGTGTCCCACTGGCAACTCAGCTCAAAAAATGGGAGTTCACTTTTTCCTAATGTCATTTCCCATTCCCCCCCCCCAATTTTCTGGATATTTGGCATATATACTATATAACAAACGTGTGGGGTTTTTTTTCTCAGCTGTTGACAGAACCTAGCTGATATTATCTGACTCAAAAAACTAAGTCAGGCTATATATCCCACTCAAATACTGTATATGTGTATGTGTATGTATGTATGTATATGTATGTATGTATGTATGCAGACACCAGACCAACTCTATATTTTATTTGTTGATCTTTGGAGGCACAATAAAGTAAGTTTTCCAATAAAATTTATTTTTCCCCATCTCTACCTTAGTTACCAAGAAAACATTATTAAATGTCATAAACAATAAGTGGAGACTTGCCCTTTCATAACTCATAGATTTGTGACTACTCTGACATGTATGACTTGCTTTACTCAAACACTTCCCAGAAGTAACTCATTAACTTATGTATTCTTTTATATCTATGCTGATACTACCTAATTTTCCTCTGACCAAGTCTGAGTAGCCTTGGTTATTTCACAATTCTTGAGAAGACAAAGAAAGAAGGACATCTTGATCTCTTGATCAAGGCAGGAAATAAATATAATAAATGGATTAATAAGTAGGAAATGTCCCTTTCTTTGAGTTTTAAAATATCTAAGGTACATAGACTTCTCACTACACTGTGATTACATCCTGTCTAGAGCTAGAAGGGAAGAAAAACACTCCCAACTGCAAAAAAAGAAGAAAAAAAACCCTGAATGTTGCATCACTGTTTCTTCCTTTCCTAGAACTATCCTCCTTACGTCAGTTATGTGTACAAAGATTTCATACAACTCTAGAATTGGGAAGAATTTTGGCCAATGAACTGTTCAGATGAATAATCCAAATCAAAGCACCCCTTGGCTATCCCATCTCTGCTTCAAGATATTCTTAATAAAAGGCTTTGAAGTGAAGCTCATTCATTAGGGAGCTCCAGGGAGGTTAGTTGTTTCCCTTCAGACAGTTCATACTATTAGAGGCCTCCCTTCTTATATTTGAGATTCTTATTCTGTCCCTTCATTTTGAAACTATAGAGAACATACATTGATATTATTCTGTGTGACAGCTATTCAATAGAACTATTTTACACTATCTGGCATAAAAATTACCTTGTAAATCAGAGGTGTCAAATTCAATTTCATTGAGGGCCACATCAGGATTGTGTTTGATGTTGGGGGCCGGGGTGGACGTTGCCAGCTTGACGTCACTTGTGTCGGGGGTTGCCAAAGCACTCTGCCAGTGAAAACTGGCTACAGAGCTCCATTTTCAGCTACAACGGCTTCTGCCGCCCTCTGCCAGAGAAAACGGAGCTCAGGGGGGGCTGCACGTGGTCCTCCCGAGCTCTGTTTTTGCTGGCAGAGGCACCACGGACCGGTCCTTTGCTGTTTCTAGGGTGGCCCTGTGGGCCAGATCTAAGCTCCCTCTGGGCCGCATCTGGCCCTGGCCTTGAGTTTGACACCCCTGTTGTAAATGGTCTCTTTGCTGCCTTCTAATGGGCATATGGAATTCTGCAACCTGGATTCAATAGCTCCAATTCCAAGCTCGAAGAAGCTCTCGAAGAAGCACTCTATGAATCTTTCTTTCTCAAGGTAAAATTCCCAGTTCTCTTAGACCAGGGGTCGGCAACCCGCGGCTCCGGGACTGCATGTGGTTCTTTTATCCCTCTGCTGTAGTTCCCTCCTTTCATCCCTCTGCTGCGGAGAGAAGCAGCCAGGGCTGGTTCTCTGGCACCTCATCTCTTGCTGGGTCTTGTGGGTGCTTCTTCCAGTCCTTGTTGGTGCTGGGCATGCCTCGGTTGCTCAGGGAGATGTGTGACCTGCTCTCCACCCTGAGAAACTGGCCCAACCCAGCCACGGGCAACGCCGCAGCTGTTGCTGCCTCCATGGCCTGCCCGCTGCTCTCTCAGCACCTTGCACAGCACAGTGAAATTTAGTGCACTTCACAATGGGGGAGACAAAGTCCCCTCCTCCTCCTGGAGCCCATTACGACACGAACCCACAATGCGACCCTGTCCCATTCACCCCTGGCAACAGCAGCAGTGTTAGCCGCGGTGTGACACCAGTGTCTCAGGGCAGAGAGCAAGTTATGCATCTCCCTGAGCAACCGAGACATGTCCAGCACCAACAAAGGCCAGAAGTAGCCTCCTGCCATTTCCTGCTGCTGTCTGTTGGGCAGCAAGACCCAGCTAGAGATGAGGCGCCAGAGAATCAAAATCAGAGAAAGAGGGAGAGAGAGAAGAGACGTGGAGAGAGACAGACACAGACACAGAAGGAGAGAGGAGAGAGAGAAAGGTGAAAAACACACCCAAGGCTGGGTGTGGCAAGAGGTGGCTGGGAGGGGAGGGTTGAGGCAGGGCCGGGTGTGGCAAATAATTTAACAATCGGTTCTCTGCCCTAATGACCAGCAGGGTAGGCGTGCCTGGGGGGATCATGTGACTGGTGGGTGATGTCGAGTTGGCCATGCCCATCCAGTCACACTGGTTGTTAAATTATTGGCTCCCCATGTTTTCTTTTCTGTGGGAAACGAGTCCAAATGGCTCTGAGTGTTTAAGGTTGCAAACCCCTGTCTTAGACCTAGTTCTCTTATATGCCAGGAAATTGTCTGAGTCTGTTTTTAATACTTTTCCACTTCCTTGGGCTAATAGTCTGAGTCTCTTAGTACTTTCCCACTTCCTTGGGCTACTGTAAGTGCACGTGTCTGTACATTTTGGTTTTGTAATGTTTCTGAATAGCTTCTGCAAGGTCATCTCCATAGAGTATTATGCCTACATAGTCTTTATTATATAAATTTCCTTCTGGTATTTTTTTGCTTATTTCTATTGAGGCTCTTGGCTCATTTCTACTTGTTTCTATTGAGATTTTTTAAAACCTTATTTATGGCTTTGTAAAATGCTTTATGAAGTCAAGCTTTATAATTCCCCATATATTTACACATTCACCTTAGGTTCTTGATTATTGCATGTTTCCAGGTCATTTTTACTGCATTTTACTACATTTTTATCAGCTTTCAATTCTTTACCATAAAACGCATACAAAACTCCAGGCATGCCTACTATCTATACCAGAGCCATGCAGTTTTTTCAAGACTGAGAACGGAAATGTTGTTTTTTTTTAAATAATACACTGGAGTGACATTCTTTAAAAAAAAATAGGCAGAATTGGGACAAAACTCAATGGGACCGTAGGACAAAAAGTAAGTTTTAATTATTTGATCTTAAACAGGAATTAGACTATTAATTTTAAAGGACCAGCTGAGATTGGCTAGGTGCTCCTCCAAGCCTTCCTTATATAAATTGTATTAAATTTAGTCTAATTTGTAGGCAGTACAAAAATAAATAAGGCATGTCAAGTTAAAGTGATATGTGACATTTCCTTAAATAAACATTGAAAGTGCTTGTTCATATGATGACTGAGACTATTTCTTGGTACCTATTCATGAACTGTGGGGTGGAGTGCTGGGTGGAAAGGAAGTCTAAAATATAATGAAAGCAATTTCTTTATATGGTGGTTCTTGTTTGAGAATTCTGCATTGTTTGTGTTACCACATTGGAATAAGTTTGTGGGCATACATTTATTTTCTTGCTGACATCATGAAGTTTCTGAAAAAGTTGTATTTGTTATTATGACCACTCAATAGTTTATATAAACTTTGAAGAATGCTCCTGCTTACTAATTAATGATTAGAGAATTGTGTATCCTGAAGGGACAGGATGTGCCGGTCATAATTTCTCATCTGATAAAGCCAACCCCTGTGTATATGTCAGATTGCTAATCTATTTGTGCGCTATATTGCATTTACACAAGATGTTGTATTTCCTGCATTCCTCAGGATGGTTGTTAGCAGCGTGGGAGAAACCTCTGAGTCATTTAGAAGAGCTACAGGGGAGACAGAAGTTGGAGTTGTGGAAATTAGAAATAAATGAGCCAAATTCATTCTATGGCTCTTAGGATTCACCGGAGAGGTGATGACATTTCAACAATGTAGTTATTGTTGGAAGATTTCCTCCTTGAGAAGCAGCAGGTTTTTTTTCTGCTTTTCTAAACAGTAAGGGAAAAACATCATGTATGGCTGTGGTAGGTAAACACTTGCCAAGTTTAACATTATGCTAAGGCATCATATCATTTGTCTGGTTTTAGCTTAGCACAATATAAACCCAGCCACTGTGTGGGTACAATTGTGGCTTACAGATTAATGTTGTGTGCAAGCTAGACCTCCATGGCTTTTTCAAAAAGCCATAATTTTAAAACCCCGTCTTTTACCACAATGTGTGAAATCTGCTGCAAACCTTTTTAAAGAGATGCACATATACGGTGTGTTTAATAGTAAAATAGTAAGAACTGTGTACGGGAAAATCAAACCAAACTACAAGTATATAGAAATACGTTCTTTTCCTTGCTAGTCTCTCTCTCTCTCTTTTAAAGAGATATCTTATATGAATACGTTATAGCTTAGTGTTTATTTCTCTTTGTTTTTACAGATAGTGGATAACAGTTCTTACACTTACCAAGCTAGAAATAAAGAGACATGTTCTGTCAATTAGAACAATTAATCCGTGAAATACTTTCCTTAAGAGGTTATGGATGCTCCATCAATGGAGGTTTTTAAGAAAAGATTGGACAACCATTTGTCTGAAATGGTATAGGGCTGTAATGGCGAACCTATGACATATGTGCCACAGGTGGCACATGGAGCCATATCAATGGGCACGCGAGCTCAGCTCCGGCGCATGCTGACTTTCAGGCCTTCTGGGCCCACCAGAAGTAGGGAAATAGTCTGTTTCCGGCCTCTGTAGGGCCTGGGGGGGGGGGCAAGGCCCATTTTTCACGCTCCAGAGGCTTTCTAGAAGCCTGGGGAGGGCGAAAACAGCCTTTCCCACCCACCCCGGAGGCCCTAGGGAGGCTGGAAATAGCCCATTCGCCGACTTCCGGTGGGACCGGAAGGCCTGTTATTTACTCTCCCCAGGCTCCAGAGCCTTTCTAAGAGCCTGGAGAGGGCAGAAACAGCCTCCGCCCTTCCGGAGGCCGGAAACGGCCCATTTGCCAACTTCCAGGTGGACTGGAAGTCGGCAAACAGGCCAAACAGGGCAAAAAACGGGCCCACCGTGCCATCATGTGCCAAAAACAGGGGGAGGGCAGGGGCATCGTGTGTGCATGCGTGGGGGGCGGGGCACATAGAATTATGGGTGTGGGCACGTGCGTGACCCCCCCGTACTCATCCACCTTTGACATGCAATGACAAAAAGGTTAGCCATCACTGGTATAGGGCTTCTAGCTTGAGCAAGGGGTTGGACTAGATCAGCGATCACTAACTGGTAGTCCGTGGACCACTGTTGTCCTGCGAGAAAATTTTGATGGTCCACAGAAAATTTATTTGCATTTTTTATATTGTACTAAATCGGGGTCCTCAAACTACGGCCCCTGAGCTGAATACATGCAATGAATGTTTGTGTTGCTGCAGAGTGTCTCCCCCTTCGTTCTCAAAAGTTCTCAATGAGGTGCTTCTGCTGAGCCTCCTTCTCAGTCAGATCCAATTTGAACTGAGCTGTTTTGTCAACTCTTTCTCGTGGTGGCTACTTAATTCCAACAACTACTTAGTTCCAACAACTGCTCCCCACCCAGTCACTCCGCGCTTCCCTAAGGAGCCCGGATGGGGAAGCGAGAAGTGACTGAGTGGGGAGGGGCAAGTAGAGGCCGGCGAGGCATCCCTTGAGGTGAGTGACATTGAATTGACCATGCCCACCTAGTCACACGACCACCTAGCCACGCCCACCCAGCAGGTTATTAGGCAGATCATATTAGTGGTCTGTGGGATTTAAAATTATGAATTTAGTGGTCCCTGAGGTCCAAAAGGTTGGTGATCACTGCTTTAACCAACTATGTGCAAGGAAGAAGCAGATAATAAAGTACAGAAAGGAAACAAACCATGAATTAGGCAACAAGCTGTGATTACTTTTCCTGCAAAACTTAGTCCGGCTTGTTGCAGTCCCTTTTAACAAACTGTGATACCATGGCATAGAGTGATATCTGTTTGTGGGCTCACCAGCAAAAAACAAACCACATTATAGCTTGCCATTCCACAAGAGCCTTGCTAATTTGTCAGTAAAGTTAAATCACAGTTCATTTATTCTTTATTTAGCATAGAAGAAGATGAATAACTCTCATAAACATACAAATCTCAGTCTAATATAAGATTTCAAACTGTAAAGGAAGGAGATTAAGGCTTTTTTGTGATCCTATCCATACATGGACAGAATTAACAGAAAGTAGTAAGTGTTTAATCAGCCTATCCTGAGGGACTTTTTCAAATATTGGTCACCTACAGTCATAATTATTCATAGATCTCAAGTTGTAAATCTTAATGTAGTATCTGCTAAATCATAATGACTAAGCAAAGAGTTTTATTCACAATTTCAGACAAGATTGTGTAATTATACACACATATACACATAAACTTTCACATAATCTCCCACACACAAATAATATTTACAGAAAAAATAGAAATGAATATATGACATGTTACTTCAATAGATGCTGCAAGGCATGAGTCAGGCCTTTACCTCAACATGATATAATGGACAGAATTTTTTAAAGCTCCATATAAAATGGTATTTCACCTTTTTTTTTTCAAACTATTTGATGAGGACTCCTTTTTTTAAATACACAAGAAGATGATGATTTTGGTGAAATTTCTTGGAATCAAAGCAGATCAAGGGTGTAGACAGACTATGGTTAAAAGTCAAGTTGGCAGCTGCAAGGAAAGTCCATCTGTTTATATGCAAAAAATAATAATAATGGAGCTTTGGTTGTATTATATCCACCATCTTGATTTTTTAAAGCTATGCCTTGTAGATACTTCTACGTCCAACAGAGTTTCCCGGTTTGACTGTCGGTAATGGGCCAAAATGGATTCCTATCATTTGCCACTGCAAATTAGTTCTTAATACATCAGAAGAAAATTTAGAATCCCAGTTCAAAACTAAATATTGTATCCCCAGAGATCCTTGATGTGTGTGGGGAGAATACCTATAGAGACATTGGTGAAACATTCCAGATGAAAAGAAAATTAGATAGTGAAATGAAAAATAAACTTCTATTTTAAAAATATGCATTTATCAACATGCTGCTCTTGAAATGACAAGTGCATGACAAAACAGTTTATAGAACACAAAAAGTGACACAAGTGGGAGGTAAGGTATTTTTCGCATTACATAGCATTGTACTCCAATTTATGACATACTTTCTCTAGGGCATTTCAACAAAATTTAACTAGAATATTTAAAATTACTGAATGCGATTACTTCTAGGCCATGTTCCTATGAATATTTGAAACTAAATTCCATTAAAATAAGTACAGTAGCTACACCTTGTAATCACTATCTAGACAAAGTCAGACGTACCTACAAATTAGCTGTGCCAATAATATTTGCTAGTGCTTTAAATTGGATTTTGTCACCAATGGTTAATTTCAAGTAGATTTAGACCGTAGTGTTCAGTAGTGGTTATTAGTGTTCTAAACTGCTTAAAATATTTTATCTATTCCAGGATACTTTATCTATATGCTGTACGAATTAGTATTTGAGATCTTAAATTTAGCAAATAATTCCTCAATTTATCAGTGGCAAATTAAAGTACATTTGATAGTTTATAGCAGTGTTTCTCAATCTTATAATTATAAGAACAGTGGACTTCAACTCCCAGAACTCCCCAGCCAGCCATGATATGGGAAGACTGTACAATTCACAATGAAGTCACAAAATTTAAGGGCATGAATATGAAATACAAACATCCCTGTAATTCTTGAAAAGGGAAATACAAATTTGTTTACCTTTTTGGTAGGGAAAACACATTGTGCAAACGCCATGAACATCAGCGGGCTCAGTGGTGGGTTGCCCCCGGTTTGCACCGGTTCTATAGAACCGGTAGTAAAACCGGCAGGAGGCTTCGCCCACTGACCCCGACGTCATCAAAACGCTTCTGCGCATGCAGAAAGTAAAGGTAAAGGTAAGTAGAACTCAGCCCTGTGTGGGCCCCAACCTTTTTGGCACAAGGGAGTGGTTTAATGGAAGACAAATTTTCCACAGACAGGGGGTGGAGGGGAGAGAGAATGGTTTCGGTTTTGCCCACTCGCTTGGCATTTGTCTCCAGCTGTGTGATCTGGATCCTAACTGGCTACGGACCACAGGTGGGCATCACATACTGTAACAACTGGTTCACCCCGAACTGAAAATGTGAGCATGCACGCACATCATCGCAACATTGAAAAACCAGCAATTATATAGGACATGATAGCACCAGGGCGGGCGGGTGGGCCCAGCCACTGGTCGGAACTACTGGTTCACTCGAACCGGTCTGAACCGGCAGCAGCCCACCACTGCCATGGACCTGTTGTAGATAAAACTAAAAGAGTTCTCTTGCTGGCTGGGGAATTCTCGGGATTGAAGTCCGTGCATCTAAAGATTGTTCTACAGGATACTTTGTTTTATTTCAATCCTGATCTGAATTCTTATTGCTTGTAATGCATTTAAAATTGGAATTTTGTTTCATGCATGACCCAAAACTTCATCACTGCTTTTTATACACATTCAAACTGTTTTAATTCATGCTTGGGAAACATGTCAAGATAGACCTGAAATATTTGAAATAAAAGTTCCAGAAGCTCCTATAGGAAATATATATGAACCCAAATGAAACTGTACTTGTGAGGAAAGCCTATTCTATCAATTTCATGATTCGCATCATTCCCAATATGGGGCATTTTTTATTGCCATTGCTGTGTAATCCTCCAATAATAAGTCTTCAGATATATTTCAGATTTGGATTTTTGTTTTTTTTAAAAAAATCATAGTCTGTTTATGTACAAGAATTGTTTAGCATAACATTTCAAAAATTCCAGTGGATTGATAAAATGTTAACATTTAACATAAATAACTGTAGCTATTCTAAAAGGCTATTTCAACACATATTTAAATTACATATACTGGCAGACTGATATGGGAAGATTGTACAGTTCACAATAGAATTACAGAATTTATAAGCACCAGTATAAAGTTCAAACATTCGTGTAATATTTGAAAAGAGTTGATACCAATCAACCGTTTCAGTAAGGAAAAACACAGTGGCTAAAACAGCAACAAAAAGTATCTGAGGAAAATAATGAAAATAAATAGAATAGAATAGAATAACAGACTTGGAAGGGACCTTGGAGGTCTTCTAGTCCAACCCCCTGCCCAGACAGGAAACCCTACACCACTTCAGACAAATGGTTATCTAATATCTTCTTAAAAATTTCCAGTGTTGGAGCATTCACAACTTCTGCAGGCAAGTTGTTCCACTTATTAATTGTTCTAACTGTCAGGAAATTTCTCCTTAGTTCTAAGTTGCTTCTCTCCTTGATTAGTTTCCACCCATTGCTTCTTGTTCTACCCTCAAGTGAATTGAAGAATAGTTTGACTCCCTCTTTTTTGTGGCAACTCCTGAGATATTGGAACACTGCTATCATGGCTCCCCTAGTCCTTCTTTTCATTAAACTAGACATACCCAATTCCAGCAACCGTTCTTCATATGTTTTAGCCTCCAGTCCCCTAATCATCTTAGTTGCTCTTCTCTGCACTCTTTCTAGAGTCTCAACTCTATAGCTGACACTCATTATGTAAATAATCATTATGTAAATGCACACATAACATCTATGATGGTCATGCCATGTTGAATTTTTGTCAAAAACATTTTCTATACTGCCTTATTATAGTGTGTCACATTACAGTGGTTTGCTGATTTAAAAAATGGAGCAGGGGAATTTGAATTCTAGTTTTGCCTGGGACCCTGAAGCCAACTGGGCTAATCACCCCCTCTCAGCCTTGGGAACAAGGCTATAAACCTCTGTCTAGAAAACTGTATGGACTTCTCCATGTAGTCACTGATTTGAAGGCAAAAAAAAAATCTTATTTTTCTGCTAACAAATCATCAAGCTAATTTAGCATTAGTGACTTGCACGAAGATCCATGTTCTGTCTGTAATAAATTAAAGAACTATGATTTAACTTTTTCAGGAAAACAAAAACATTTTTTTTCACATTTTCCACTAAATATAAAGCAAATATATTTTCAAGGATTCATCATTAATAATGAGAAAGCAGTAATCATCTGTGCAGATAGCTATTCTTATCCTATTACATCGAACACTAGGAGGCAGTGTGCTCTTGATTTTATCTTTATTAGAAAACCAGTATTGTACTGCCTCCTGCTGGTCAATACATAACGGTACCAGAAAACATTACTGAGGATATACACTGTGGAGGAATAACATGGTTCAGAGTGATGCATGATTCTAATGTAGTCTTGTGATCTATTTCAGTCATAAGGGGAAGCTAATTCCCCCCTATGGGAAGTAATGGCACTGCTTTCAAATTCACCCCTTCGCTGTGAATAAAGTTCCTTCTTTTTTTTAACCACAAAATGGTTAAAAGTTTCTATTTCTAGATGTAAACTAAATATAGGACCCTGTATAGACTTTTATTCACACACTTTTAATTTATGAGAAATATAACCTGTCTGGTATTATAAATCGTATCTTAGCATTAATGACTTTAGAGCAATATATATAGCAAGTTTACAGTTTTCAGGATGCATATTTTTCTCTCTCAAATTGTAAATGACAAGGTGTACTTGAGCTGCTCCAATTACAAATATGACCTTAGCCATTAAGTAATGATTTTTCTACAGTTATACACAAGGCGGGGAATTCCATCCGATGCTTGATAGATAACACCTCTGTGAAATTTTATGGTGTCGTTGCTAATTTCTGAAGGGTGTTTTTCCTCCTGGATAAATGTTTCCCAAAACAGTAGCATGCTCAGCTTTGAATACTGGCTTCTTCCCCATTTAAGAATGATGATAAATCAAAGTTGCAGATGTTTCTTATGCAATATGCATGTCAGACACTGTTTGAAATCCTCAAATTCCATTCAGTAGGATATATGTTCCTGTGCATACATTTGAGATAAAAATCTGTGGGTTGTGCTCTAAAAAATAAGTGACAATATTAAAAATAATGGGTAGAATCTGAGGAATAAATTGCCTTTTTGCTCTGTCCCTAGTTTTGAATACACCTTGGCTTCAAAGTTGCTTTGTATATCCATGAAGAAAAAGTTATCTGAGAAAAAAGATGCAAGTTCAGAACAAGTTGCACAGATTTTTCAGTCCTGCTCACCTATAAAAAAGGGGAAAAATAGTTTCCTTCCACGATTATCTTTTCTACCTTTGGTTTGTTGGTTTTTTTTTCTTTTTGTTTCTTTTATTGCTCATCATACGGTGTTGTTTGAAGTAAAACTTTTATGACCTTTCCTACATTAAACCAAGTATTTGATTTATAGTCATATCTCAGAAGTCCACCTGAGGACAGATCATTGCAGAACTGTTAAGAGTTTTTTCTTTTGTCTGGATTTTCTTCTCATTTCTCCATTTTCTTTCTTAAGGGCCTGTTGAAAAATCCAGCCTGCAAGGAAAATAATGGGGAAAAACCATAACTCAGATTAAAAATTACTGCATTAGACACAAAGGAGATAAATGCAAAATCTGAATTAAAAAAAAAAATAGACTATGAGCTAATGACAGATTCCAAGTGACACCTTTCCTTGAGTGTCAATGGTTGCAATGCTTCGAAAATTTCTTCAGATGAAACAAAAGGGACAAAAGTCATAAAACCATATTAGGACAAATATAAATTATAAAAAATCCATTAGTTAATTTGGTAATAGATACTAGATTTACTCTGATGGAATTATATAGAATGACATGCATTCTGATTGGAATTAAAAGCATTACTTTTCATAATTGTATTAGTGCCATTTATTTTTGCACCTTGGGATTTCTGATGTCCTGTATCTTTTATTTCTAATATCATTTAATATTCTGTATCCTCCACTGGTCAATTACTAAGGCACTATCTTAATTTTCTCTCTTCTGTCTCTCTCCATTTTATTTTATTGATGCAAATTTTATATTATTATTATTATTATTATTATTATTATTATTATTATTATTATTATTATCTATGATAAGTGGGTCACTTTGTGGTTACATTAATAGTAATGTAATGAAACAATGAATGAAACTACGGTGTATCTCCTAAGATACTAAGAGATGTTTCAAGTTGTAAAGATCTTATTTTCTTAGCTTTGACAAGACTGCCAACTTATGGACAGATGACTAATAACAGCTGTTTAAACTGTATTAGATTATATCACTGTGCACTATATTTCAAACCTGATGAGAACAATAAATATGAGAACAATAAAGTATTTTTATATGGAACACTGGAAGAAATGAAAATAATTCCCAGTAGAAATTTGCAAATATATATTTATATAAATTGAAAACTGAAAATTAAATAGTTATAAGAACATGAAAAAAGACACATGTGAGAAATAGGATTTAGGAAAAGCCAAGCTTATAAGGAAGTGCAAGTTTAGACTAAAAGTTTCAGAGCATTGTTTTTCTTATTTGGATTATCTTTCCATCCAAACAGATTAATTCCAAGATAACAATACCAATGTGAACAGACACTAACATCCTCCAAAATATTTTGCACATTTTTATAACATTCAGAATCTGCTTGTATAAATATTAATTAATTAACCACCATTTAATAATAATATATACTCCAACTTTGAAAATTATGGCAAATAAAAACTGTTTTCTGAACCACTTTTTAAGAAAATTTATAACACTGCACAATAGCAAGCATTGATATATTTTTTTATTCACAGATGGCTCATCATTTAAGTGGCATTGCTTAAGCAGGTAATCAGAAAGATTTCCTCCTTCTTGCCTTTGCCAACTCACCAAGATTTCAGAAAAGGAAAATGTGGAAAAATACTTCATACCTTCCATAATGCAAATATAAGCAAGGTAAGAATCAGGAGCCCAGCAAAAACACTCAGCAGAATGACCCATAATGGCACATGGCCAGGAAGAAGCTCCTTTGAGATTTGAATTATTGTCTGAAATACATTAAATCAAAACAAGTATTCATGATTTTTCTAAAATAGAAACTGAGGAATCAAGTTGAATAGAAACTACTTTTTTATTCATTAGAAACTCATTCTTTTGTTATCAAATACAACTTGGGATGGATTCAAAGGTTCCCTTTAGTGAGACAGGACAAATTATTTTTATCCCAACAACTTTCCACTTTTTTTCAAAATCTGCTGCAGATGTTGGATGGGAAACAACCACTGGTTCTGACTCCTAGCTTTTTTTTATGAATAAAACTGTTTAGGGAACAGTTAAAAAGTGTAAATGTGATCGTACAAATGCTAGTGTTAGGAATATTTGAACTCTGATTCTCTCCCAGTTATGGGATAGTTCTATAAGTGCAAAGATTTTGTTTCTTCTGCAATGTGGTTCTATTCTATAAATAAATACTTGTGTCTTGGAAAGAAAAATGTGATAAGTCATATTATCAACAGTACATCATTAAAGCTCCAATTTTACACCTACATTAAAACTATAATTCTATACCTGCTGATTTGCAAGTTGATACCTACCATACTGTAACTCTTAATCCTAATATAGGATTTAGATATTTCCCAAATAAAAATAAGTTTTATTGTTTGACTGATGGATTAAATTTATATCCTGCCCATCTCACTGTTGAGCAAGGCAATTATATGTCAGTCTTGTTTAATATGATGCATCACATACATAACACATACATGAAAAAGACGGAGCTTCAGTTGTCCAATTAGCTAAACTGACAAAAGATATGGGCTGACATTTTATACATTGTATATCATATGCATTATACCAGTTATACCAGGGGTGAAATGCTCCTGGTTCGGACCGGATCGCCCGATCCAGTAGCGATGGCACCTGGTGGTTCAGAGAACCAGTAGCAAAAATCCCTGCCATCCCCATGCCCAGCTGAGCCACACAATCATCAGAAACTTTTTTTTTAATTTTTAAAAGCATTTTTTCTACAACCTCTTCAGCCAAAAAAATGCTTTTAAAAAGTAAAAAAAAAAAGCCTCTGATGATCCCATGGCTCAGCTGGGGATTAACAACCTTCGGTGGAAGAGGTTGTAGAAAAAATGGTTTTAAAAGGAAAAAAATAAGTTGGCTACGCTCACCCAGTCACATTACCTCCCACCAAGTCCACAGAACCGGTAGTAACAAATTTTACATTTCACCACTGAGTTATACATATCTAAATATTATTTCTACAAGGACACTAACAAATATTTATTTATTAATTTGTAAAATGCCAACAGTTTTATTAAGGTTCAAGTAAAAATACTAATTGAGTTGCAAACAAATATACAACTTATGATCTGAATGGTTACTTATAAGTAATTTTTCTATAATAGGATTTTCCACTTAATTACCGGCAGATAATTTTTCTGGCTAAACTGGCTTGCAAGTTGAATTTATGATATGCAAAATAAACTGCTGGAACTCACGTCTATTTTTTCATTTTCTTTCTTCAAGATCATTAATGAGTTTTCACTCCTTAGACTTGCTTTCACAATGAGTTCTACGCTGTGAATTTTTGCCTAGAATAAAATGGAAGTGATAATGCTTATTCTTACATTGATGGTTCCAAATTCAAAAGATGATCCAGAGAGGAAAATGCTGCTTTTTGCTTATAAGAAATGTCAGTAGAAGTGCACATAAAGGAATTTGCTGTGACGACAGAATAATTTACTATTACATTCATTTAATGACCGTCATAGGGAAAATAAGCAGCATTTTGGCTTATTAAGGATAATTGAAACTTTAGGATTTAACAGATAATTTAAAATGTAGGATTTTATTTAAACCTTTTCTTCTGGAGGTTGGCACAAGAAACCAAAGGAAAAACTATTGGCATCAAAATATTTGCATCCCTTACTGGACACTGCAGTTTGAATTCGTCTCAAACTCCACCATACTCCTCAAGGCATGCCAGAGTTGGGAAACAATAATCTGGACTCTACACAAATGTTGCTTACCATCTGGACTCACTTATTGTCCAATGTTTTTAGTTGTCCTTCTCCTACAATCTCATGAGATCAATCTTTGGACCAAAGAACAACAACAAAAAAATGCTTGCAAGTTGAAGCCAATGCTAGAACATGGAGAGATTTTTTTCCTTTCTAATACAGCTTCTAAGGCAATATCTTTGTTGTAAAAATGCTTGCAGGAAACCAGAAACATATGGCTTATAGAACTGCATATAAAGATTTGATTATGTGTCATCAAGCCATTTTCAACTCCTAGCAACCAAATAGATTTTTCTGCAAGATGATCTGTCCTTAACCTATTCTTCCATGTCTCCCAACAGTCGTAACTGAGTCCATCTACTTTGCTGCTGCCAGCCTTCTCTTGCTTTCTAACTTATCCAGCATTAGAACCTTTTCCAGAGAACTGGATCTTCACATAATGTGTCCAAAATAGGATAATTTGAGCCTGGTCATTTGTGCCTTGAGTGAGAACTAGGGGTTGATTTGTTTAATGATCCATTTGGTTGGTATTCTCAGGAGTCTTTTTCTGACGTCAAAGTTCAAAGGCGTCAGTACTTTTTATATCCTGCTTCTTTAAAGTCCAACTTTCATTTCCATGACATGTCACAGGGAATACCATGGCTTACATAATTGTCTTTGTCAGTATAGACACATTAGAGCCAGGGGTGGGCTTCAAAAATTTTAGCAAGGGGTTCTCTGCCTGGTTGCTGGGTGGGCATGACCATGGTGGGCGTGGCCTAGTTGGCCTCCTGCACCATGGTGTGTGGGGGCTTTTTTCCCTCCCCAGGCTCTGGAGGCTTTCCTCGAGCATCCAGGAGGGTGAAAATGGCCTCCCCAGGCTCCAGAGGCCCTCTGGAGGCTGGAAATGGGCCTCCAGTAGGCCTGTTTTTACCCTCCCTCAGCCTCCGTGTGCACCCTGCACTTACCTGCATCCAAAACAGGCCACATGGGGACTCCTGGGGGGGGGCAGCCAGGACTGGGATTTGGGGATTCTTCCAAACTGCACAGAATCTTAGCTAGAGGTTCTCCCGAACCCCCGCAAACCCACAGCAGCCCACCCCTGATTAAAGCATTTCAATATTTTTTCCAAGACCTTCATGGCTGTTCTATCAAATGATAATTTTAGCTGCTTGTTCCTTTATTGTTGATGGTTGACCCTAAAAAGCAGAAGCTTTCTACCACTTCGGTATCTTCATTATCAATTTAAAACTAATGTTGTACCTTCTGTCAAAGTTTGGCATTCTTTATATGTAATTTTTGTTTTATTTTTTCTCTGATTTTTAGTCCTATCACATGCCTGGATACTGAGGCAACATTCCCTCTTTTCAATGGTATATTCTTTAGCTTTAGCAATAAAATTACATTAAATTGAATGTATATTAAGAAATACAGTTGAATTCAAAAAAAGTTGAATCACAATTAAAAAACCTACCCCCTGAACAAATTATGTATTGATAATACAGCATAACACTTCTTTCAATAGAACCTTCCCAGCCAGTACCAATAAAGATGAAGTAAGTAGCATGTACCTATAATATGTATATGATTTTGATAAGATATCATTTTAAATTCTTAATAAACATGATAGCTCACTTACCTTTATGAAAGTAGGCTTCCAGAGTCTGAATGAAATATTCACATGAGTTATATTCGAAGGGGCTATAGTGCAATTAATGGATGCACAATCATATCCATCACAATTCTGTATAAAAGACCATAAACACATCTCATTAATATATTTGCAAAATATAACCACCCAAAATAGCAAAATTTTAGATAACCTGACACATTCTCCATATCATGCTGAAATAAGTATGAAGTGTCCTGATAATAACAATGGTGACACCATTAAAGTTCAGTCAGTGTTCAAATTGCTCATCATTTTGCCTTCAGGAAGGCTCACTGCAGGCTATAATAAATAAAAATCTGTTTAAAAATCTAATAAGGATAATTTAACTAATGTTATTTGTTTAATCAATTTATATGGCTGCACATCTAGTGAATGCGCCTTTGGGGCCCACTTACAACATATTAAAACAATAAGAAGAAATATCAGCAAAGAAGAAAAACTACAATGGTCACTGAGGATAAAGCCAACCAAAACAAATAACAAACACACTCAATGGACCATCTAACCCATGGGTGTCAAACTCGCGGCATCACGATGCTGTCACATGACGTATCACAACATTTCCCGTGGAACTGGAGTGGGCATGGCCTGCACATGACGCATCTGGGCCACGGGCCGCCAGTTTGACACCCCTGATTTAACCCATTGTTTCTCAACCTTAATAATCTTAAGATATTTGTGATTCTCCATGTTGGCTAAGGAATTACAACAGTTGAACTCCAAACATCTTAAAGTTGATGAGGTTGAGAAACATTGATTTAACCTTCCAACTCTAGCCTCCCAATACCCAGGCCTTGAAACACATCCAGGTCTTCAATGCTTTATGAAAGGCCAGCATTGTTGGGCCCACATCAAGAAACACTCCTGTAAATACTCTGACATGAAAGACTTTTTAGGTGACACCAGCATCTTAAATTGAACCCAGAAGCATTGCAACTCATGAAAAATCGGTGTAATATGGGCATACCAAGATGTGTCCATCACTGCTTACACTATTCATTTGTAGCTTCTGGATGGTCAAGGGCAGTCTTCAAAAATTCACCTGGGAGATGACTAAGGCATGAACAGTACCTCCTTGTCCAGGAAGAGGCACTCTTAATTCCTACAGTGGATTATTTATTCTGACAGTGAAAATCTCTTGCATTAGCCATGACAGCCTTATTAACAGGCAGCAACATTTTATCCACCAACATTTTTATGATATGTAATTGTTCTAATTGATGATTGACTGAAACACCATCATGGACATCGATGGAAAGTTGTTTTTTAATCTCCTTGTCTGGAGAGATGGTGAAAATCAAATTTCCAAAGTTAAACATTTTAAAAGTCAATGTTGTAGATTTAAAAACCTTATTTCCAATTACATTTCTAGCAATAAGAATATTATAGTTGCATATCATTGCTCTTAGCATAAGAAAAATATACTTATGATTATATTCATATGATCACAATTCAACCCCAATTTAATATTATACACTAAAATGTATTATTAACCCCCCCACCCAAATAAAACCCCACATAAAATCAGGTATACATACTATGTTAGGATCCTTTAGAGGTTCTTGTATTCTTGATGTTGTGAATGGTTTGCCCATATCAATCTTAAACAAATCACTTGGGTGGCTGGATTGGCATTTTGCATTCTATCACAAGAAGAAAAAATGTAATGTTTTAAATATCTTGCAATAATTTTAACAGAGGACTCCAAGTCTTTCCCCAAAGATAACATCCCTTGACTATTTTCTGGCTAGAATGCTTTAACTGCTAGAAAAAGGATGATTGTCACCAAAGTCACTGCCCTCCATCTGTTCTCAGAGTCACTTTTCCTAATGAGTCAGAAAGCTACTCAACTTTCTGAAGAAACACAGGAGCTGTGTGAGAGAGCAAATCACTAGTTTCCTCTACCTTCATTCTTCCAGATCAGAGTACAGTAGAACCTCTGGTCACGAATGCTTCTGACCACAACCAAATCATTTTCCAGCCAAAAAATTCATGATTTTTTTTTTGGTGGCCGATTTCTCCTTTTGCACCATTTTTTTTTTTGTAAGCGCCAAATTAGGTTCAGGTCACGACCAAATTGGGTTGTGACCAAAGTTATGGAATGAATTATGGTCGTGAGCAGAGGTTCTACTGTATACAAATTTTTAACCTCTGCTACTAGTTTTGGGCTACTTTAGCAATTATTGTTTTATTTTAGCATTACATTACATTACATTACATTACATTAGGTAGGTGAAATGAGGACCCAGTTTGTGGGGGCAATAAGCTGACTTTGTATAAATATACAAAAGGATGAAGGCTATTGCTGAGCACATTGTAAGCCGCCCTGAGTCTTCGGAGAAGGGCGGCATATAAATCAAATTAAAAAAAAACAAAACAATTTCTCTATATATTTAATTTTGCAATTAATGTGAAAGCTTTATATAAAGTATACAAAAGTATATATTGAGCATAATATGTAACTTTAAAACACAATTTAACACTTGGCCAAAACTAAAATATATCAGAAATATTTCATTTTTTGTTATCATTGTGATTATTTATTGTTACATTCATACAATTTCTTTTCTTGGAGTTGACATTTGTATACAATAAGGGATGTCCTTTATTTTTTTATCACTGTTAAGTAGTTTGGGCTGAAAGGCAATGACTGAGCCTGTTATCCAGTGAGCTCCGTGTTTAAAACGGGAGTGAATCTGGGTTCCTTATGTGCCAAGTTGGCATCTTCATTATTATATCTTTTTTGGCTCTCTCAAATGCCCAAGTGGGTTTATATTCATATTTCCTCAATTCAATGTCTAATTATTATAGCAAAACTCCTTACTTGGTTTGAGACCAAGACCCCAGCATTCAAGACCTGAGGTGAGTGCCCATTTTTGCCTAGCTCATGCTCACCTTGCATGTTCAAAAGCATGCAAATGTGAGTAGATAAATAGGTACTACTTCGGTGGGAAGATAACAGCACTCCATGACATCATGCTGGCCACATGACCATGGAAATGTCTTTGGATAATGCTGGCTCATGCCCTTGAATCGAAGATGAGTGCCGCCCCCTATAGTTGGCAATGACTAGTTGTTAAATAGGAGTACAATCCACAGGGATTTCTTTCTTTTCCTTCCTTCCTTGGTACCCTCCAGGTATATTGGATTATATCTCTACTTATCCCAGATATGACACCCATAATTCCCAATCAGTAGGATCAGCAGATCTCTTTTCTTGCAGTGATGGTAGTTTGACATAACTGGATGAAGTCAGTTTGCAGAAACCTCTTTGATGTGATAAACCATGCTTGAAACCTAAGGCTCCAAACAATTATTTGTATCATGACGCACTACTTTGTTTTCCATGGTTATGTCTTATTGATATAGATAATGTATCTCTTTGGATTTAGATTATATAGAGATCAGACAAATTGTTTACTTAAATTATAACATTAGATAAATCAGAGATTATTTTAGAAGATAATTCCAGAGAGCATTTCATATTTTATCTAATTTATTATGACAGCCAAATAGAGTCCATTTGCCCCCTTATAAATACCAATGGAAAGAAACAGATGGAACATTTACTCATTGAAGGACCCGTGTTGTGGAAATCAAAGTCTAATTTTGAACTGCAGAGCAGTGTTAGTTCATATATTGCCGATTTACCTCTGAATATGATATCCTGGTGAGGTAAAGGATTTGATTTTCATCTGAAATATTCTTTGGAAATGAGATTTGCAGTGCAAGCTGTGGCTGTAAGAAATGTTCTCCTTTCTCAATCTATAAAGATGAATGAAAGGCTAATTAAAAGAAAAATAAAAAAAAATGTTTTCCCTGTTGTTAACAGGTGCTACAGTCACTACTAAACAAATAACACAGTGTACAATTTTATTTCATAGCAGTAGATCTCTACCTTACCAAATTTGCATGCAAGGAAAATAATTATTTAAACATTATCTTAGAAACCAAGTGTCTATAAATTAAACTAGAACATATCCCTAAGGTAAAGAAAATAAATGATCTGTGGTATATTTCCAGTGGCCATGTTATACCACACTGACACAACAACTTGTTTTGGTCTGTGGTTTGTTGTAAATATGTTTAAGCTTCTTACTATGGTAATTCCTTGCCAATATGGGTTCAAGGGAAAAAATGAAGCAAGAAGAATAAGTGGCATTTATGTTTCAGTAAAGTGTCTATAACTGGCAAATGTTTATAGTTGAATGGATGAATTGTAGATGTATCAAACCACAGTATTGAGCTCCTGCCAGAAGTGTGAATTTGTTTCTCCCCTCTGTAACAATATACACCCATCCCAAATCTGTCCTGAAAGTCTGAGTATCCTTTGGAACAGATTTTTGGAGATGTGCAGTGGAAAATAAATAGGATAGTAAAAATTGGTGAGGTGACCGGAAGCTCCATTTGCAGAAAGTTCTGTCTAGTTCATAGAAAATGTTATAAACTGGCATAATAAAAATTTACCTGATTAAAAAAAAATACAGCACATAAATGTTATTTTTCAAAGTCCGCAACCAGAAAAAATGGCATTGTCTCTTACCAAGTAGTTTATATTAATTTCTTCTCCAATATTGTCAGTAGAATTAATGATTGCAGGTATTGTATCATTTGCAGCAATGATAATGTGATGCGAACTAGCTTCTCTTAAAAAGAAATAAAATAATGTTCAGTGATTTGAAATCACAAAATAGTTACACATGTCTCACTTCAGTCATCGATACAAAATAAAATAAAATGAAACAATATGTTTCAATATCTTGCTCAAGAAATTATGGGTTTAATAAACCTGAGATTTTTTTCTGAACAGTGCATGATTTTTCCTATGCAATTTATACAGTATGAAATTGTTAATCCATTTTAAACTACCTAGTGAAACACAACAGTCTAATTCCATTCTATTTAAATACCAGTTTTTCCCCTGATTAATCAGAGATAAAACATTGATTAATTGAATATGTTTTCAGTGATGGAACAAGCCAGATAATATAGCATGCAATTTTTGTCATATATAAAATGTGGAACAGTTTAGTTGCTCTATTTACTTATGAAACAGTGCTACTATATCACTCTCTTGTTTTGGGAGACTATCCAAAGAGACTATCTATCAACAGAACAGAAAAAAACCCATGGATGATCAGTATAAAAAACAGATAAAATCTAGTTATACCTTTTAAATATTAATCCACTTTCATATTTTATTGGAATTGAAATAGTTCCTCTGTTGTCTCCAAGAGTCTCATCAAGTTCATCACTATCACTAAAACAAAATATATTTTAAAAGTTGCTTTAAACCACAACCTATTTTAACCAACAAGCTACGATACTCAAAACAACAACCCATGTTTTGCCTTACTGTTACATTATAAAATTATTTAATGTTTACTTGTAAAGAAAAGAACACTTGAAGTGGAAAAATGTGTAACTTAGAGTCAACTTAATTGCTGAGAGGAAAGTTCAGATTTAAAATAGCCAATTATGTAAGTATGGAATTCAAAAGAAATATTTTTGGTGCAACAATTAATTAATATTTATGCTGGTTTATCAAGATTTGTAGATGTAATCAGCAACTTAAGAAATAATGACCAACGAAATTTAATGACAATTTAAGAATGTCAGCAGTCAATCAAATCATAGGATCACTGCAAAATACTGGTATCAATAAAACATTAACTCATATAAAGAAGCAAGGAAATATTTATTGATGTTAGAGCAGTAGTACCAGCACTTAGACTTATATACCACTTCACAGTGCTTTACAGCACTCTCTGAGCAGTTTACAATGTCAGCCTTTTGCCCTCAACAATCTGGGTCCTCATTTTACTGACCTTGGAAGGATGGAAGGCTGAGTCTACCTTGAACTGGTCAGGATCAAACTCTTGACTATGGGCAGAGTTAGTCTTCAATATTGCATGATAATCATTGCACCACTACCAACATGCTGTCAGGATTCCCCCCCCCCCAAATTCAAGACCTTTAAACTTTTATTACACTATAAATGGACAGAGTATTCTACCCTTTGAATTTTTTTATCAGATAGAAATCTTTTTTTCCTTTCATATTTCCTTTCTTTATTAAGTTTTCTTAATTCTACCCAAAGCCAAAAACCGCATAAGAACATTGAACCTTCCACTAAAGGTAATGAATCTGATTTAAGATTTAATAGTTTGGATGCTTAAATATGCTTATGCTATAAATGGAATTTACAAATGTTGGAACTCCATTCAATTTTTCTGATTTGAATTAATATAAGATTTGCTATTGGTTAAGCTTTCATTAGTTTCAAATTTACCCTTTATTAATCCTTTTAACCACTTACATTACGATTGCTTTAGGTATTATTTTACTATATTGTCATTCATTCTTTTATTACATTTTAATCATTCAATGAAATTTATTATTTGATTTCACTCTTTTATATATCACCATTTAGTCTTTTATTCCAACAAATTATAGACCAATTTTCCTTTTGTGCAATCTTGATTCAGTGGAAACCCTCCATAAATTCACTGGGGGAACCCAAAATAAAGAGAGTGGACCCCAATTCAATCTAAAGTTGTGTAGATATTGATGGAACCAACCTTGTAACAGAAAAGTGAATTGTTGTATTTTCCAGGAGGTGGGACACATTGAATTGGAATGCTATTTCAAAGAAAATCTAAATGAAAAGAAAGTGCATAAAATGTCAGTGTTTATAATTAAATAAAATAAAACTGCAATTATATTTTCAACAAAAATTGAATACAATTCATCATTACATTTCCCCTTAGTAAAAGAAATGTTTTATTTTTATCTACACTGAGCAATTTATTTATTTATTTGTCAGATTTATATGCTGCCCTTCTCCCGTAGGACTTGGGGCGGCTCACAACAATAAAACAACCCGACAAATGATAAAAATTAAATGTCAGTGTTTAAATAAATAGCAATAAAATGAAGATGAGGTTGTAAAGTCTGGGAGAGGTCCCTAGTGTACACATACCCACACACGTTGTGAAGTTTTCATGCACATTTGGACTAATGATTCTATATAAATATATTTATATAAAATTGATATAAAATCTGTGCATATGAAAACAAAAGGCAAAAAGGCTGTGAATGACAAAATAATCCTATTGCTACAATTCATTTGACATTTTTGTTTTAATTTAGAAATATAACTTGTAGGTATGAACATGGACTTAACATTTGAAAATTGTTGCTTAAAATATTTTTATAATGCCCATCACATAGACGTCCTCCAACATATTATTAATGTTCAGCTTGTAATCTTAAAATAATGTAACCAATAGTTATGAGTAATGCAGTAATTCCATTATGGATTGACAACCGCTGATAGAAATGCAAGGATTTGAATTAAATCATGTTGTTGCATTTTTTAAATCATTTTGAATGTGGGCTATTAAGACTAAACTCTTTTTTCAATATTCCCCTGAAATGATAGAGACAAATCTCCTTTATAAATAACTACTTCTTCTCCTTGTGCCATATCCATCATCGGATGTTGGCGATCATATTGGCAATCCTATTTTTATCAACAACCGCACAAAAAAGTGCTGCTGAGTTTTGTCCAAACCAGTCCCTTAGATTTTGAAGCCATGATGTTCTTCTGCTGCCTGGAAGTCATTTACCTTTCCCTGGAGGATTAAGTGAAGTATGCCGTATTTTTCCAGGTGTCGCATAACATGTCCAAAATATTCTAATTTTCACTTTTTTATGGTTTTGAGGATTTCCCTTGGCATAAATAAATAACACAGGCACCGAAAGAAGGAAATGTTTATGGATTAGAGGGGGGTCCCTGAAACTTGAATAGAGAGAGATGTGAAATCTGCAGGAAGTATTTTAAAGAATAAGGAGGATGACTTTAACAGAAATGTGCAAGAACTGTTACCAAGGCAAAGGATACAATACAATTAGGCTTGCAAGGTTCTATTATTATAGCCAATCTCCACAAAAAGCTATTTTAGCCTTCCCGTAGGGTTGATTTCTTGGTCTGATCTACCTAATGTTCAATCTTGTAAATCCAGTTGTGTTGTAGACCCTCCCTTTCTTATACTTCAGTGATACTGAATATTCTTGTATTTTACTAGTTGATTTAATGGGATGCGGTGGCTCAGTGGCTAAAATGCTGAGCTTGTCGATTGAAAGGTCAGCAGTTCAGCGGTTCGAATCTCTAGTGCCACGTAACGGGGTGAGCTCCTGTTACTTGTCCCAGCTTCTGCCAACCTAGCAGTTCAAAAGCACGTAAAAAAATAGGGACCCCCTTTTGGTGGGAAGGTAGCAGCGTTCTGTGTGCCTTTGGTGTTTAGTCATGCCGGCCACATGACCACGGAGACATGACCATCTTCAGACAGCGCTGGCTCTTCAGCTTTGAAACGGAGATGAGCACCGCTCCCTAGAGTTGGGAATGACTAGCACATATATGCAAGGGGAACCTTTACCTTTACCTTACTGTTGATTTAAGTAACATTTCACTTCCCCTTTGCCAACTCTTTCATATTTCTGACAAGCTTATGTCTCTTTCTCTCTACATGTACAGAATTAATTTTCCTCTATTGCTTTAATACCAAGCAAACCAATTGTTTCTCTGTTCTAATTCCGCTGGGTTTCACTAGCAGGTTTTTAGCTTTTGAAAGAGGGTTTATATTGCACTCAACAGAAAGACTGCTTTGTATAAATATATTTCATGAACAATGTAGCAAAAAGCTGCAAGTAGTAAAGGTATTTTGCTTATAAGGCACTGGAGAAGATATTGTGGGAAAGTTTATTTTTAGCCAAGTTCCTGTCGAGGCAACTGAGCCAGATGACAGAATATGACAATCTGGTAAAAAGAACAGAATTCCACATAAATTATTCTTTATGAAGTCTCAGTCATACAGAAAGACTAAGAAGAATGGCTGGATGCTACCAGAACAGCTGTTCTGTCTTCACTGGTCAATGTGAGTGAAGGTAAGAAGTATATTTTAACATGAAGGATCTTTCATCCCATCATTCTAAAAGGTTGCAGCTGTTTTTGGTCTTGCTTTGCTTAAAGAATAACTAGTGGAACTCTAACTCATTCATTTGGTGACATCCAGTCAAAAAGAATGTGTGAAGTTTCCAAAAGATGCCCTAATTAATTCATCAGCCATGAGCCAAACTTCAAAAGAAATAGTCATTTATTCGGAGCAACATTTCGGCAATATTCGGATGCAGTTAGAACTAATCCCACGTAGATTTACGTTCCCCTATGACAGGCTCTCCCCTCCTCCCTGGCCATGTCATAAATCACGTTCTCCAATTAACCACTTTGGCTGGCTGTGAAATCCAACACCCTCCTACTGATTGCGGTAAGAAAGCATCTATGGAATGTAGCTTCAGTTAGGGAACATCAGAGCATCAGGGCATGTCTAGAGTGGTTCTTAATGGTCTCTGAGCTTGCTTGTTTTCTTGCAGATGTTTCATTATCCAGGCTAGGTATCATCATCAGTTCTAGTCATGATGTTACCTAGTTTGGATAATGAAACGTCTGCAAGAAAACAAGCAAGCTCAGAGACCACCAAGGACTCCTCCTACAAATATTCTCCTTCATTGGTATCATCTCTAGGGTAATTGAAGTAGATGGTATAAAATTGAAATAAGATATTATGCATATATAAATAAAGTACAGGGCTTTTCCTTCTGCTGGAAATATATGTAATGGGGGCTCACACTTAATATTTGTATGAGTATAATTAAATGAGTACTTTAAAAAGTGCAACTAGTAGTAATGGGAGAATAGGAAGGGCTGCGGCTGCATGAGATGGAGAATGTAAGATTCACTATTTTGTTTGGAAGTTTTCTGTCTCTCTCATGTGCTCTCTCTCTCTCTCTCTCTCTCTCTCTCTCTCTCTCTCTCAGACACACACACACACACACACACACACACACACACACCCCAGTGGTAGGTTTCTATCGGTTCGCCCTGATTTGGGCAAACCTGTAGCGGCAGTGGTGGGAGGCTCTGCCCTCCCGCCCGGACGTCATCACGGATGCTCTGCGCATTCTGTGCGCTCACAGTTCCAAACCGGTAGTGAAGGTAAGTGAAACCCACTACTGACACAGAGAGGGGGTGGGGGAGCAAACAAGAAAGAGAATGGATCATAATTCATATATTTTAAACAATGATTTGTTGAATAAACTAACCTTAGCTGAGTTCATACAAGAAGCTAAACCAGAAGGTGGACAGCTCTGGTCAAAAATTATGTTACATTGTTTCTCAACATTTTGAATTGGGAAATTAAAAATCTGTGCAGATCTGTTTTTAATTTTAAATATAATAGTTTTTACAGTTTTAATTTCAGCTATGATTTTATAAGATTTGGTATTTTTTGTGTTGCTTAAGATTCCTGAGAATACTACAGATGGCTATGGAACAAAGAAATGGATTATACAACAAATCCATCTCAAGTTCTCACCCAAGGCATGAGAGACCAGGCCTAAATGATAATATTTTGGCCTCATTGTGAGAAGACCTAACTCTCTTGAAAAGTCTATTGTATAATGCTGGGAAAAGAAGGGGGGGAAATGTTGACCATCAGCAAAATGGATGGACTTAATTTCAGTGCCAAACGAGTTCACTCCATAGAACTAGGTTGGGGACAGATCAGTCTGAAGAAAATCTATCTGGTTGCTAATGGCCTATGTGTGGGATCATGTGAACTTTATTACTATTTTAGCCATAATAGTTCTTCCCTTTCCCTTTATGGATAAGTTTTAAATTAAGCATTATGTTTAATAAATGCTGTTCAGTAGGCTGGAAGAAGAACTCTTCATAAAATAATTGCAAATAAAGCAAAATATCGGTATGTACATGCTTTAATTTCCTGAATTACAAAGAATCTTTATGACTCAGTATATATTTAGTATATATTGATTGGTATACAGTAAATTTTGTTCTATTTATTTATTTTTGTACAGAATATACTATATATACTACTTGGCTATTTCACTCTCCTGTTTTTCCCTTAAGGAAATAGAATATTTATAGGAAGTTCGCATGATCTCACACATAGGCCAGAGGCCAGGCCTCCTACATATCCTGTCGCATAAACTTCAATTCTCAGAGGAAGATCTGAATCAAGAGTCTGGTTGCCTGAACTTTGTCTAACTGGAGATAAACGTCTCTTCGGCCAGAAGCTCTAAGGAAGCAATTGCTCTTATGATCACGAAGCCATTAAGGCATGCTTCCCTGATTTCTGCAACCAGGTCCATTTTGCATCCAGGGGTTAGTAATATATAAATACATGTTACCCACAAAATGCAGCTTGGGGACACTTTGACCTCTTATTATTTATGTTCCCATATAGGTTCTAGTCTACTTCTATGATTTTCAGAATTCACATAAGACAAACCCTGTGCATTCCATTTGGTGTTGTTGGAAAGGGACGTCTGGGAATTTTTGTGTACTTAAACCATCCAGGAATGTGAAATTTTTGCAATTTTCATAAAGAAAATAGCCAAAAGTAGGAAGTTCTAGTGTTATTACAGTAACATCTGAAATGCCCAGACTTCTCACCCTTTTAAATGCTCTGAAATTCAACCAATTATTATTTTCTTTTAAAAAAAACACTTCCCTCTGTTATCTATTTATGATTTAAGATAAATTAGTAATTGGAATTTCATGTGAAATTTCTTGTGGAATTGGCATCTCTATCTGGTTGCTGAATTCACATAGGCCCTAGGTTTGCACACTCTAAGCAACAAGTAATCTAACTAAAGTTATATTGTTGTGCAAATGAACCAGTTAGGTGGTTAAGTATGTTTCAAGGCCAACTTTCTGTTCTTTTCAAGATCCAGACTAAAGTCCCCTCAACTCTGAACTGTTATTTTCCTGTTACTTTTATTGATACTTATCTGGAATTTGTCTTGTGATAACATCTGGGCAAACATCATCCTTCCTATCCCATGTATAGAAACTAAATAAGAAAGCAATAAATCCATCACATCTGATTATATCTCATTACAACATAGTTAAGTGCACAACAAGGATGGATTCCTATATGAGGAATGTTCTTAATTAATCAAACTAATTAAGAATATTCATCATATGAGAAGGTGCTTGAAGACAAAGCTCTAAATATGCATTCCATTTGCTGCGTCTCTATTTATTTCCTCTTTACTTTTAGTTTTTTTTAAAAAAAATTCTTGTTTTGCTTCCTGTGGGTTTGAATTGTAAATGTGAGATATATTAACTTTCTGCCAACTGGTAACCTCTGTTCATTTTAGGATACCAGTTGGAGAAATGTTGAAATATACACTTTTAATTCAGACACACAGTCATGCATGCATATATCTACACACATACAAATTCATACATACTATGAATTCTTAAAAAATGATAGTATGGAACTTTGAATGTTGGACACTAGAGGGAAGCAAAAGGAACCAAATAATACTATTAAAGGAAAAGAAGACTTTAATTTGACTTATTAAACGCAGAATGGAACCTCAGTGGAACACTGGACATATTGAAAGATATTTGTGAACAGCGGACTCAGAAGTTAATTTTAAGAGTGTCTGCCATTGTAGATAAACTATGTTTAAAAGATGTTATGGAAGAGAAATAGGTTTTATCCGATAAGCAGTGGTGGAATTCAATTTTTTTTACTACCAGTTCGGTGGGTGTGATTTGGTTGGCGTGGTGTGGCTTGGTGGGCGTGATTTGGTGGGCGTGGCAGGGGAAGGATACTCAAAATCTCCATTCCCACCCCACTCCAGGGGAAGGATACTGCAAAATCTCCATTCCCAACCCACTCTGGGGCCACCAGAGGTGGTATTTGCCGGTTCTCCGAACTACTCAAAATTTCTGCTACCGGTTCTCCAGAATCTGTCAGAATCTGCTGAATAGTACCCTTGCCGATAAGACTGCAACTGATCTAAACGTGGATTTAAAAATGACAGGCTACAAGAATGATATAGAAAAAAAATGCTACACTGGACACACAAAAGGACATACACACTTTAGGTTCAAGGTCTAGCCACCTGGAAAAAAAAGATGGCGGGAGGAGAACAGATATTTTCAAACATTATTTCTGTTTGTTTATATTTCAATATGTTATACACATCACCCCCACCAATTTACTCATCATCTTACCTCCTCATTGGGAGACAGGAAGGGATAGCCGACTTTACAAGTGATGTTCTGCCCGGTATCACAGCTGTCTTTTGGTATTTTCTGGATATAAAATGATAAGAAACCAATTATTTAAAAATAGTAATAATAGGAAAAAAAATAAATATGCCAAAACATATTTGCACATTAATCCCATCTTTTCTGGACTATATAGTCCCAAACTTTGTGAATTGGTGAAGAATAATTAATCTCTCTGTGCAGCTTCATGTCTGAGCAAGAACTGAAATTCCTTTAGGGCAGTGTTTCTAAACCTTGGTAGCTTGAAGATGGGTGGACTTCAACTCCCAGAATGCCCCAGCCAGAAGCGTTGGGGGATTCTGGGAGTTGAAGTCCAACCATCTTCAAGCTTCCAAGGCTGAGAAACACTGCTTTAGGGTCTAGTCAACTAGACGATCTACTAATCCACATTCCTCCATACCCCTTGCTCTGTCCTTCTGAAAACTCACCATTTCTAAAAACACTAAGGAGAGCTTCCTTATTGGAAGAGTAACAGCTGGGGATGATTTTAATTAGGACTCAAGACTTCAGGAAAAGTTTGAAGTTCTCTCTCCATCTGCCATGGCCCTGATATGGATTTAATCCTCATGTTCCTTATTCTTAAATAGAAATACAAATATTCACACATTTAACATGCAGGTCTTGATTAATACTTAATCACTATAAGGCATTTTGATGCAATTGTAAAGGTAATAAAATCATCCATGAGATTCAGTGCAGTCTTATACACCAGAGAGGCACATTTTCCCCTGAAAAGTGTGCAGAAAGTGACAAAAAAGTGGGAGAGAAAACTAAATTGTATTAATGAAATACAGTTAACAGGATAGCTTCTCTATGTACTGCATTCTATAATTTCCCTCTTCATAACATTAAACTATGAGAAGCAATGTGGATTCAAATCCAAGGCTTTCTGGCAACTGGTTGTACAATTGCTTCATATATCTGTTCAAAACTAAGTGTCACTGGATTAAATAGGGTCCTAGGACTGTGGCTTCAATCAATTATTTTTTTTAATCAACATTTTCCTCTCATGATAATGGTTACCAATCTTTGAAATCTCCACAGGATTGTTTGCAAAGGAACAATCAGTGATGGGTTGCCCCCGGTTCGCAGCGGTTCTATAGAACCGGTAGAAAAACCGGTGGGAGGCCCCGCCCACTGACTCTGATGTCATGAAAATGCTTCTGCGCATGCGCAGAAGAGCGCACGGCCCTGTTGCGAACCGGTAGTAAAGGTAAGTAGAACCCACCCCTGGGAACAATATATTATCATTTTAGTATTCTAATAAATATTCCTCATAGAATGTTTTTTTCTATGAAAAAAAAAAAAAGAGAATGGCTCCCATATGGCTTCTGGGCTTCATGAGAAAATATGTGGTATAACTATATAATAAATAAACATCAGCGTAAACCTGTAATGTAGGAAAATCAATTATGGGCATCACAGGAACTAATCCTAATTTCTTTAAAGCGATCCTAAGCAAATAAGTTTGCATTACTTTTCTCCCCTCCCAACGAGATGATAATTTAAAAATATCTACCTCAATTCCAGAAAAAATAATATTTGGAGAATGTTGTACATAGACTCTTGTATTGTAAGCACTATCTTTTTTATTTCTGACCAACATTTGGACCCAGAATTTCAAATTATTCAGTTTGACGATGAATGGAGATAAACTGAAAAATGTAAAAAAAGATAAAGATAGCATATCATAAACAAGTGTAGCACAGCTCTTTTTTACATCTTAAACTATATTTTTTATTAAATCAGCAGCATATAATAAAGCGGGGAAAACCCCCCCAAAAATTAGGTGGACATTTTTTGACAGTTGCAAAGTCTCATACAATTGGAGCCTTAAAATGGATTGGTATAAGATTGATCTACTGTTAGAAATGGGATACATTTTATTATTTAATCATTCTAGAGTTAAAAAAAGGGTAAGCCTGACATTACTGCTGCTGTTATAATATGAAGGAAGAATCCAATATTAACACAGATTTGGACTATTGCTAAAAACAACAGCCTAATATTTCAACTTTCTCCCAAGTAATGTTTAGTTTTGCAAAATAACTGTGATGTGACATCACATACTATGATTTCCCCTTTTTCTACAAACACTCAACCATAAATGGAGTAGGGAAATTTGCAGTGCAATGGTGAAGCTTCTTGGAGGAGAAGCAAAACATTTTCTTCTTCTTCCTCGTCTTCCTCCAGGAAAAAAAGAAAAAAGCACCTTTGAGACAACTATGACTTGGATGACTGAGAATCTCCACAGACAGTTGGCTCCTATGTAACTTCTCAAGATTATGCATAGTTAACCCATATCTTACATGTGTAACTCTCAGCTGTTCTTTGTGATTACACAGTCCTTAGGGCTACTGCTGCCCATTCCTTGTCACAACCCAGATGATCAATGAGCACCTAAGTATGAAAACTCCTGTCCTATTCAGTCTGGCTGAATTTATCTTTTCCCAAACATAAATCATGTTTATTTATTTAATCACATTCAACGTTGCCCATCTGGATTCTGGATGACATACATAGTAATAATCAAGAATATACAAAGACCACTAAAAACAACTGACTTACAATAAAATTAAAAACAATATTAAAAAACAATAAAAAACACATTCATTTGTCAGAAAAAAATTGTTGTAAACACTGGCTTCTATTTTCCTTATGCACTTTTATTATGTGAATACTGTTGCAAGTAACAGGGAAATGAATTTTGTACATATTTCTGATATTTACATTTTTATTTTAAACAAGTTGCTTTCCCACATTGTGAGAGACACAGATTTTGGCATGCATCTGCAATCCATTAGTGGCCCAAATATGAAAATTATGACTGGAATGATGGGATGGGAGGAAACATAACCTCCCTAATGTCACAACGTTCCTAATTACATCCACAGAAGTACTGTTGGAGAGAAGAGAATTTTTATCTTTTCCCAAGAAAGCCTAATGTAACTGAGATAACCAGAAGGAATTCTTTAACATTGCCCCACCAATGACCCCATGTTTAGATCCATGAAATTGTTATCTAAAGCAATTCCATATTTCAAAAAATGTGGTGTTCCTGCTACAGAAGTCTGTCTTTCTCAATGATAACATGGGGAACTCTTAATTTTGCATGCATGCTCATGAACATATGGAGATCTCTCGATATGGTTATGCTGATGTTCAGCTTTCACTCTACTTCTGACTGAAAATGTGCACCTCTCTTCCAAAATAGGAATATGGTCCCCTTCAGCAGCCAGTGAATAATTCTTGACAGTTTAGGAACTGCAAATAATGGTAAGGGAAGACCAAAAGTCCAAGTGACAGAATAACAGAGTTGGAAGAGATCTTGGAGGTCTTCTAGTCCAACCTCCTGCTCAGGCAGGAAACCCTACACCATTTCAGACAAATAGTCCAATCTCTTCTTAAAAACTTCCAGTATTGGACCATTCATAATTTCTGAAGGCAAGTCATTCCGCTGATGAATTGTTCTAACTATCAGGAAATTTCTCTTAGTTCTAGGTTGCTTTTCTCCTTGATTAGTTTCCATCCATTGCTTCTTGTCCTGCTTTCAGCTGCTTTAGAGAATACACTGACTCCCTTTTCTCTGTGGCAACCCCTTAGATATTGGAACACTGCGATCATGTCACTCATAGACCTTTTCATTAAACTAGACATACTCAATTCCTGTAACCGTTCTTTATATGTTTTAGCCTCCAGTCCCCTAATGACCTTGCAAGTGTATATAGCTTGCATGGTCTGTGTCATCCCAACTGTTTCCCTCTCTGTCTCTTCCCCTCTCCCCTCTCCCCCCTCCCTTTTATTTTGGAGGCTCAGAGTGTTCATGTGACTTATCAGCCCAGTGATACAAGGGGAAAAGTAAGGGGTTGCTATTTTGGGCAACCATCAAGCATTTTCCATAATGTCTACTTTAGGCTATTTTAGAGTTTCAATAATTTTTATGCATTAATCAGGACAATGATCTACCTTTGTTTTTATTTCTATTTTGATTATATTTAACTCTTTAAATCATAAGTTAAACAGAACATTCAATTCAGTGGTGAAATGTAAAATTTGTTACTACTGGTTCTGTGGGCGTGGCTTGGAGGGGGGTGTAATGTGACTGGGTGGGCATGGCCAACTTTTTGTTTGTTTTTTTTTACTTTTAAAAGCATTTTTTCTACAACCTTAAGAGGTTGCAGAAAAAATGCTTTTAGAAGCCTCTGACGATCAGGCAACCCAGCTGGGATCGCCAGAGGCTTTTAAAAGCATTTTTTCTACAACCTCTTCGGCCAAAGAGGTTGTAGAAAAAATGCGTTTAAAAGTGAAAAAAAAAAGCCTCTGATGATTGCGCAGCTCAGCTGGGCATGGGGGAGGGGCAGGGATTTTTGCTACTGGTTCTCTGAACCACCCACTGCCATCGCTACCAGATCGGGCAATCTGGTCTGAACCGGAAGCATTTCACCCCTGATTCAATTAGAAAATAGAGAGAAACAGAGATAGAGATAGAATTTGTGTTTCATTTGACTTACCTGTTTCCTCCAATGGTTGCGTTAGCAGTCAGCTGTAGATCAGTGATACATTTGTTCTTGTTTCCACAATCTTTTGTGAAATGGATCTGCAAGGAATTCTTGATCAGCAATGAAAAGACTACACATTATTCAAACCCATCTCCCTTTCCCCCCTGGTTATTGTCCTGAATTGTGGAACTCTTGCCTGCTTAGTTTTTGATAGTGTCATCAAATTCCTAATATGGATTTGCAGAACAGTTGTGCTCCAAGATTTCCATCAAATATCTGATAGCAAGCCCATGTATACATACATGCATGCATGTATGTATACATGCATGCATGCATGGCCATAACCCCATCAACAGTAGGCTGAGGAAGAATATGGCTGAAATATCTTCTCCTACCACAGAAAGGCATTGGTTATGTTAAAGAATGGAGAAAACAAATAGAAATTTATTATGGAATAGGCACATGGCCATATTCAGTCAAGCATGTTTTATTTTACCAAGACAGGACCCAACATGACAGTGCCATTTATTTCTTTATTTTGGGAAAATTTAAGTGACCTCTCTAGTTTATCCTTATGTTTGAATGTTGCATTTCTGCTACAGCCCTTCTCATTTTTGGAATAAGTTGGCTTGAAGAGAGGACTGAAATGAGTGGGGGTAGATGGAGTGAGTCAACTCATATGTAGAGGATCAAATGTCATTCTTAATACAGTATATAACTCTATAGTGTAACACAAAAGTTAAATTTTTCCACATTGTAGTGACTCACATATTCAGCTACTGAATTGGGTAGCTCACTGTCAAGGATTGGTCCACTCTCGGGGTCAGAAAAATTAAACTCCAGCAAAACCTTTATAGGATCACGAAAGTCAGGCTTGCCCTGGAAAAAAATCCAAAGCAAATCAGGTATTAGAATGTTCTCTTTCTTTAGGAACATTGTTTGTATTAGAAACTGACAATCTGAATCTCTACATTTAATAAGGCTCCATTCTAAGCAGGATTCTCCTTATTTTTCATATAAATACAGGGTGCTATATGAAGGAAGGGGACCCCCATCTAGTCTATAATTTAAAACTGCATAAATATACAGCTGCAAAAAGAAAAGAAAGAAAAAGAAATATATTTTTACAACAATGAAATCTATCGCACACTGAAAATTATCTAGCAAGTATGGGATATGTCCCTGACAGTTGCATGTGTTGCTAGGCAGTCTTGGTTGTCGTATACAATAGACTTTAAAGATCTAGTTCCTGAAAATTGGCACAGAAAAAAGTTTTCCAGTTTGGCCTGAGCCAAGGATGTCTAGAAAGCATGATGAATGATTACCTGCTGCTAACTCCTCCAAATGTAAAAAATTACATTCAATAGCTAAAAAAGGCTATTTAAAATCTATTGAAAAGTAAAATTCCCATCTGAGGAGCTGCTTCATCATCCTTGGTGGTAGAAGGTCAATTATCAGATTATTTTGCTATGGACAATGGGAAGTCAGAGACACTGAGGTCAAGCAATATCAAAAGCAAAAAGTGGTCATAGCATGGATTAATGTTGATTTTAATGCAGATATCTGGATTCCATAATAGAAGGACCCTCTGAATGGTAGAGATCTACTTTCTGGATGGAAGAAAATAAGCCAACTGTCAGCATTCTGATGCTGCCATAAAAAGGAGGAGACGAGGCTTGACTTTTCACCTACTTATTTTCTCTGTAGATAATATCCCCTAGGAGATGGGATGGGGGAGGGGACATTCCTGTGGGCTGAGGTCAGAAGCTGGGGAGACTGACTTGGAAGATGGCCAATGAGGAGATGAGAATTGGGGGACGGAAAGGGAAGGGTTTGGGGATCAGAGGGTTAGTATCAGCTACGACGAAGTCGGGGCGAGATCTGTCGTACTCAATAAATGGAATATTTCAGCAAAGATTAATTGTTTGGGAGTGCAATTTATCTGAAATGACATCGAAACCTGACACCAACTAATATAATTTTCCTATTAAGAGGTTAGCATTAGTGGTGGGTTTCTACCAGTTTGCTCTGGATCCTGTGATCCGGTAGTAGCGGTGGCGGGAGACCTCGCCCACCCGCCTGGATGTCATAATGGATGTTCTGTGCATGCGCAGAAGCACCACACGCATGCATACTCCCGTTGCAAACCAGTAGTGAAGGTAAGTGGAGCCCACCACTGGTTAGCACCCAACAAGATTACTTTTTTTCTTGCAAGTTACAAACTTCACTAAAAATTCATGCTTTCAAGCCTTATCATTCATGCCCATCATTAGCTAATAACCATTTAAAAAGAATGATGATGATGATGAAGAAGAAGAAGATATTGAGAACATTGACAGCAGAAGGAATTGTTTAGATCAGAGCTGTCCAACTGCCAGCCCATGTGCCAGATGGTCACATGCTGACCATGCCTATGTCCAGTTTAGCGAAGGGGGGAAAAGTCCCAATACATCATGTGATACCACCGTGATGACGCAAGTTTGACATCCCGGGTTTAGATCTTAGAGCTTGATAAAAATTAAAATATTTCCTTTCCAGTTTTTTATTTGTAACTAATGAGATATTGCTGTGTCTTGTAAACCTGTAAACCACAAACAGTTATGCATACACAAAATCACATATGTTAATTTTCTGTGTTGGCAATGGTCTTTCAATAAATACAGGTCTATTCAATTATTCTTTAATTGCATCTGTTTCAAGGAGGAAGTTATTTGCAGTAGGAAATGGGTGAAAAAACTGTGCCGGGGTAAAGATAGATTCCTTTGAATCAAATTCAAAGTCTTTGGGACATCCTGTATATGTTGCTTTCTTGGCAAAATATGGAAGGGCTCATGATCTTTTCCAGGGTTATTGGGAATGCTACCTATTCCCTAGTGATTTTGATGGGGGATATTTTTTTTTTTACAAGACTAGCCATGTTTAGTTAAGTGCTGCCACCCTTACAGGTATGTAGGTATGTTGGAAGTAAACAATATAGAGGACATGGCTAGACACAAATCATCCATTTGCCAGAAACTTGTCCCCCACAATCCAGACCCTCAATTGGTGGTCTACCATCTCAACATGTGACATACTGCATTTCCAAAGTTCTGAGCTTCAGCCATCCACCATATTTAATTTTCTTTAAATGCACACGGAAAATGGAAAAATAATGCATATGGAAAATGGAAAAGGAAAATCAGATGGGGAAGAGATTCAGATGATTATATATATTTAAACTGTATATATTTAACGTATTTTCTCCATGCAAATATCAGTATGCCACCAATCATCCTGAACAGTCTGTGATAATGGAAATATATATACAATAATTTACATTTTGAATTTAATAGTAGGTGGGAAAACAGTGAGTTACAGGGCTATTGTTCCCCATGAGATCAACATCAGCTTCCTATAGTAGACCAATACAATAGAAACAAGCTAGGATCCAATTTGGGTCAGTCACTGGGACCAGAGGTTTTGTCTTCCGAGCTTTTGGACTCATGCTGGAGCCCATCTTAAAGGAACTTTTCTCTAGTCCTATTTAAAATTGTTTAATAATGAGATAAAGGCAATTATAGCAATAGACAAAGGAGACAGCCATTTTATCTGATTTACTTGCCAACATGTAGAAGTTGTGCTTAATGCATTCTGACCCTCTAACTGTGATGTTTTTTTGAATCCTCCGTTCATTTGTTTCTGCAAAAAGTGTTCGAGACACCTTTCTTTGTGAATCAAGTGTAAGCCAGTACTGTATATCTAGGAACAAAAATAGGAGCAATTAATTCCATATGTAAAACGTTTCTAAAGTAGCCTTGCATGAAAGCTGCTCATCTGTTTCCGTCCATTTTTTCCGTCCATCATTTTTAAAGACTGTATTAATACAATGCGAGGGTATCAAATATAGTATGTGTAGCTTAGAGTTATGTTGTTGGAATTCTGTAAATTGGGCTTTGGGGTTGAAGACCTTTGCATTAATTGCTCATGTAGCTTCCTAGTGCCTGATCCAGGACATGTTTCAATTCTTTCAAGGTCCTCCATCTAAGTCCTAACCAGACCTGATACTGCTTAGCTTCCAAATCCAGATAAGTCAAGGGTGCTATCTGCTGAGGCAGACCCAAGGGGTGGGCTGCTGGGGGTTCGCTAGCTAAGATTCTGTGCAGTTCTGAGAACCCCCAAATCCCACTACTGGCTGCCCCGCCCCACCCACCCCACCCTCCCAGGAGTCCCCACGTGGCTCGTTTTGGATGCAGGTAAGTGCAGGGGCGCAGAGGCTCGGGGAGGGCAAAAAATGGGCCTACCAGAAGTTCAGGAAGAACTTCCAGAGGGCCTCTGGAGCCCAGGAAGGGCAAACCACTCCCCCCCCACCGTGGTGCAGGAGGCTGACTAGGCCACGCCCACCATGGCCACACCCACCCATCAACCGGGCAGAGAACCCCTGGCTAAAATTTTTGAAGCCCACCCCTGGGCATACCAATTCAGTGAAATTAAAGGCAATGGGCCAAAAATTTAACAAAGGATATACATTTCTTATCCTACTATTTGTGCAAAAAAAAATATTCTTTGTCCATAGACAGAATGCGTATCTAATTGTGAGACAATAGGAGGTTGCTCACATACAATGAAACAATTATTTATTGTCCTCTTAAATAGAATTTAGTCTCTATTTCATTCTCAGTTCTAGAACAAACCTTTGGGGATCATCATTGGTTTTTTTTCCCTAGTATTCTATATTCTGTATAGAATAAATAGCTACAATTATCCCTTGAACCCTGAATGCTGCAGTTAAGGCCCAGGGGATTTGAAAAGGGAAGCTTGAATCATTAATGAATCTTTTGTTTCTTTAGGTCATTTGAACAAGTTATTTATTTGTTCCTTTCCTGCCTCATTATTAAAGTTCTAAGTAATTTATTGTTTATTGTATATTGGTTCGATTTATATGCCACCCTTCTCCAGAGACTCAGGGTGGTTTACAATACGTTAAGCAATAGCCTTCATACTTTTGTATATACCTGCTTAATAGGGCTTTCGGGCCCCCCTAAGCGGTGTTCTTTTTTATACGAAGTCAGCTTATTGCCTCCACAATCCGGGTCCTCATTTTACCTACCTCGAAAGGATAGAAGGCTGAATCAACCTTGAGCCTGGTGAGATTTGAACTTGCAGTAATTGCAAGCAGCTGGTGCTATTTAACAGCACTTTACTCTGCTGCACCACCAAGGCTCTGGTGATCTCTCAATCCCTACTTCAGCTTCTAGCTAGTATGAAATACAGTAATTATAAAAACCATTTAAAAACATCAGTTCTATTTTATTTTTATGCAACAAAGTGATGCCCAAAGTGGTAGCCTAAAATTTAAATCTTTCTGCAGACTACCAAAGAACCGTTCAGAAGTAAGTGTTTTTGATTGCAGCTGTGATTTGAACAATAAATACAGGAGCATCCTCAGGAGAGAGGTCAAAACAGTCAAGATAGCATTTTTTAAAGGCGTGTTATATGCATGACACACATAAAAATAAAAGGCATGGAGTTTAATGGTCACCATCTTGATATTTGACACCTCCTCCTCCTAGCAGATTCCTGGTAGAAAACATGTATGCAGAGTTCAGAAATCTGGATGTCCACCTACCTGTTTCATTAATTGTGAGGTCTTTTGACTTTAATCTGACTTCAAAACAAATTGTGGAGTTAATATACACCTTTTGTTTTTGCATGTCACTGCTTAGCTTCTGAATATCAATTTTGTTGGGCATGAATTTCATGGAAGCATTTACTTGGGCAACATCTCGAGACCTAAAACCATTCAAGAAAACAATTTAAGGAATATTACAGAATGTTAAGCATGTTGCAACATTTGTAATATTTAGCGCCCTGTGTGCTTGCTCTGAGCTGGATATAAGAATTAGCTGAGAGTATGCTAAGGTAAAACTAAGCTGGAAATTGCCTCAGTAACTTTCTAACATTTTCATGAATATAAGAGAGGTCCTATGCTTGTGTAAAGCCCAAAACATTTTAAATATTAGATAGTCCTAATGAACTTGATTTCCTCTCTCTACTTTATATTCCAATGTTTCTAAAAAGGAGTCTATTTTTGTGTCTATCTACAGTGTGACATATCACTAGGATCTTAGAGTCCTAGTGGACATTTAAATATGAGCCAGCAGTGTGCAGCAGCTGCCAAAAAAGCCAACACAGTTCTAGGCTGCATAAACAGAGGGATAGAATCAAGATCACATGAAGTGATAATACCACTTTATAATGCCTTGGTAAAGCCACACTTATAATATTGCATTCAGTTTTGGTCGCCACGATGTAAAAAAGATGTGGACACTCTAGAAAGAGTGCAGAGAAGAGCAACAAAGAAGATTAGGGGACTGGAGACTAAAACATATGAAGAACGGTTGCAGGAACTGGATATGTCTAGTTTAATGAAAAGAAGGACTAGGGGTGACATGATAGCAGTGTTCCAATATCTCAGGGGTTGCCACAAAGAAGAGGGAGTCAAACTATTCTCCAAAGCACCTGAGGATAGAACAAGAAGCAATGGGTGGAAACTAATCAAGGAGAGAAGCAACTTAGAACTAAGGAGACATTTCCTGACAGTTAGAACAATTCATCAGTGGAACAACTTGCTTCCAGAAGTTGTGAATGCTCCAACACTGGAAGTTTTTAAGAAAATGTTGGATAACCATTTGTCTGAAGTGGTGTAGGGTTTCCTGCTTAAGCAGAGGGTTGGACTAGAAGACCTCCAAGGTCCCTTCCAACTCTGTTATTCTATTCTATTCTATTTTTTTTGCTCAAGATGCCAGCCTGCCACCCAATCATGTTATTCTCCTAGATTCTGCATTGCAGTTTTCAAAAGTCATCCTTAATTCAGTTACTCAACATTTCATGCAAAACACAATCAGCTGTTTTAAATAATACCAATTTTCCAACCATGCCAGTAACTCCAATCCTTCCTTATGAATTGATATTACTCCCTCAGTTATATTCACATATGACAACAAATTTAATTGGGGAATAAAACTGATATATTATTGATAACAAGGTTGAATTTCAAGCTTAAATTTGAATACACCTACCAGAAGAGGGCTGCTCCTCCCAAGCCTCCAATAGTAACATCTGTAAGTCCATCTCCATTTAAGTCCATTTCACCATGTATTGACTGTCCAAAAAATTTCATCTTTTCTCCATCTCCACCGGAAGCAATACGCTTTGAAGAAGCACAGTTTTATTACATCCAACCATAAAATATACTTAAGCATATTACAAATAGATAATTTGTGATTCCAGATCTTTATAACTCTCCCAAATCCCTACGGTTGCAGAAAATATGTAATGTTGAATAAACATTGACATTTATGTAGGAATGATGTCCTACCTAAATCCCAGAAAGGTACCTGGATGATGCTTCTTCATGGGATTTACAAAGGAGGGTGGGGAGTGCTTTAAATTCTTCTTGAATGCCAAAAATTGATGAAAGATTGTGAAGAGCAAGAAGTAATATAAATTGGGTTGATCGGGAATGAAGCATTTGTTTGATATTTCTGATAATTCCTAATGGACTGAAGCAGGACTGAAAAGTGATAATTTGTGGATTGTGCATAGATAAAAAAGCTATGGGAAAAGGAGCTTTTTATTTGTGATTTTAAAAGAGGGTGAAAATTAATATATTAGCATATACTCAGGTTGATAAAGGATGGAAGTCACTTTTTATTATTGTCTTTATTTCTTTTTCTTTTTTTCTTCTACTTTTTTCCCACTTTTCCCGTACTTTCTGAAATTTTCTTTTCTTTTTTTCTTGTTTAGTTCGTATTAGTTTTTACTAAAACTTTCAATAAAATTATTTGTTAAAAATCCCTGCAGGATGCCCGTCAACTTTGGACCTTGATTAATTTATACATTACTTATAAAATAAGCATATTTACTTGCACAGAGCAACTATATTGTATTTAATACTACTTTTTCTTTTCTGCAAAATGGAAAACTTTCCAGAGGCTAAGAATTCCATAATTAAACTACTCTTGGTTTTGGAATGAAGCTCCGTTAATAGAATAGAGTAGAGTAGAGTAGAGTAGAGTAGAGTAGAGTAGAGTAGAGTAGAGTAAAGTAGAGTGGAGTGGAGTGGAGTGGAGTGGAGTGGAGTGGAATGGAATGGAATGGAATGGAATGGAATGGAACGGAACGGAACAGAACAGAACAGAACAGAACAGAACAGAACAGAACAGAATAGAATAGAATAGAATCTGTAAGGGGTATGCATAAGCGCACCAATGTGCCTACCATCCCTGTCCTAATGTCCCTTTTTATTTGTATCCATTTCATGTATTCATAATCATGTTGATACATTTCATGTATTCATAATTATGTTTATACTTTTATCTGTAATCTTATATATGCTTGACAAAAATAAATAAAATAAATAATTTTTTTTAAAAAAAGAATAACAGAATTGAAAGGGACCTTGGATATCTTCTAGTCCACCCTCCTGCTTAGGCCATTTCAAACAAATGAAGCAGTTGAGTTTGAGCCATACCTGGGCATATTCTTTCTTTATACTCTTCCCATTTCCATGATAAACATACACAGCCCCTCGATGATCATCTTCTAGAGGGGCACCTATGACAATATCATTAAAACCATCAAGATTGAGATCCTTTATGGGAGCAATTGATGTCCCAAAACGAGCTCCGCACGGCTCATTTTTGTTGTGGTTTATGCAATCCTTCTCTTTGTGTACCAAACAGCAACTCTGCTTTACAGGCTCAAGTGTCATCTGATATTCAAAGGTTTTCTGTTAAGGAAGAAATAATGATCAAAAGATCGTTCTGATTTTTTATTACAAGTTCTTTTAATAACCTGCAATCAGTTGATGTTAAATTGTCACTTGAATCCCCAATCGATATGATTTTTCTTTTAGAATCATTACCTTGTTTAAAGAATAAATGTACACCTTGCCTTGTTCTTCTTTCTCGGTCCCCATGTACATAGGTGCTCCCACCAGAAGAAGATCTGTATATGTATCCTTGTCAATATCAATTGTTGTGATAACACTTCCATAATATGATCCAATCTGTGATTTAAAAAATAGCAACATGTTAATATATAACAACATTGGCATTAGGTAAGCCACAGGTTCTCAAATATCATGGTATCATAAGCCTGAAAATGATAAATATTTTTTTGTAATTTCCCCTACCAGTGAATAAACGAATGATTTCATTTGGATTAAGATTGGGTAAGAATTAAACAATCACATTTAAACCATCCCTTTTTTTTCAATGGCAAGACTGAGACTACTTAGTTTTGCAGGGTGGGGTGTTTGTGTGTGTGTGTTCATGTGTGTGTGTAGATTCACACCAGGAAAAAAGGTGAACTTATTTCAGGTTGAGGAAATAAAATCAACAAGTGGCCAACAAAGAAAGAACATTCTGTATTCATGTAATCCCCCCGTCCCCCACTTTGCTACATAATATAATTCATAACTTTATATGGTTTGTGTATAACTTTTAATACTGGAAAATATATGAATGTGAATTGGGAGTGGAAGTGAGGAATAGATAAACTAGTCTAAGGCCATTGCTTTGAGATTGAAAAATATAGTTTAGAACACTAAGAATGATTAAAGACATGATGTTATTCTGCTCCAGGAGGTACATGCTTGATAACATAAAGAAACTAAGTTGAGAGAATGCCTCTGTTTTAGCACCCAAGCAAAGCTTGGATGTTACTAAAATCAGAATATTAAGAGAGAGAAACAAAAGCATAATCCATAAATCACATAAGTGCAGAGCTTCAGTCTGTACATATTCTTGTTTCTGTGCAGCTGCTTTTACATAAAATGCCTTCCTTCAAACATGAAGGAAGTCTGTAATTTGTTGTGTTTCAAGTTGCTGCTGGATAATTGTATTTACAATAGAGGTGAATATTTGTAGCTCGGGTATAGGATGAGGGTGAAGGTTTGTTCTCCGAGTTTGTGGGTTAGTTTCCGAATGCTTTGTCACCAGGCTAAGTAACATCTTCAGTGGAGTTTAGGGAATGCTTAGGGAATTTTACATGGGACAAACATCACGTCAATTAAAAACCAGGATCTGTGAACATTGGCTGGCAGTCAGACACCATGATCCCTAATGCTTAATCTCTACAAACACCAACACCAAACAGCACCAGTTTGATTGGAGCAACACCAAAGTCATTGGCCACACTACCACCCATTACACTCATGAGTTCATTGAAGCTTGGCACTCCACAAACAATTCCATCTACAGACACATTGACCTACAACCAACCTACGAACCCCTCAGAATCCAAATCAACCATACAGCCAACCAGAGACAGCACTGACCCTCAACGAACCCATGCAACACCCCCCACCAGTAGTTCATCTCCCGGTGACCCTGACCTGAAGTAACCTTCTCATCACAAGTCTCACTCATGACTCACACCTGACCCATCACAAGACCCATCACAAGAACCTCACTTGATACACCCATACCTGAAGCCTTTATAGACAGAAGAACACTGACACTGACATCCCCTAAACTCCACTGAAGATGTTACCTGGCCTGGTAACGAAACATTTGGAAACCAACCCACAATCTCAGAGGATAAACCTTCACCCTAATTGTATTTAGTTGTGCATGCAAGTTTCACTATGCACTATGTAAAACTTTCCTTAGTATATAGACATTTTTAATATGGACATTTTGAACTGAAAAATTGCATCATAAAAAGGTAGTTAGAAAGTGCAAATAAATTCAGTTTCTTTAAGAATGAAGATAAACTAAAATTGCCCAATTTTCCTATAAAGGAACTTAAAGCATGTACTGTATATTAGTAACTGTTAAAATAAATACACGTTCATTGACAATTGGTGTAATAGTTTTGAATGAAATCCTTACTTGTATTTCTTTTCTGGAGTAAATGTATGGTGCACATAATTTTATTATTATAAGTACTATTAACTTTTGTCATCAATTAACATTAAAAATGGAAATGTAGTGAGGATGTGCTTATTTTTTTTTACCCCCAGTGAAAGACTAGGCAGTAGATTAGTGTCAAAGGACAAATTCTGCTTTACATCAGTGACCTATGTCATATGTGATCAATAGTGGGATTCAAGTAATTTAACAACCGGTTCTCTGCCCTAATGATTTCTTCCAACAACCAGTTCGCCAAACTGCTCAGAAAGTTAACAACCGGTTCTCCCGAAGTGGTGCAAACTGGCTGAATCCCACCACTGTATGTGATCATATTAAAAGCAACTGTGTCCTCTTCGCTGATGTAGTAAAATTATTTAACACCACTGACAATGCTGCTGCCCTACAAAGCGACATTGACTATTGTCAGAATAGTTGCACGTTTGCAACTCCAAATCTCAACTAATAAATGTTCTGTCCTACACACTGGCAAAAAAAATCAGAACACCAAATACAAGTTGGGCAGAAACGATCTCATAGACGACCCTCATTTTGTCAAGGACCTAGGAGTATTCATCTCAAACGATATAAGCCCCAGAGCTCACTGTAACAGCATTGCCAAAAATGGTATTAAGAATTGTTAACCTAATCTTGTGAAGCTTCTTCTCCGGTAACTTTATACTGCTAACTAGGGCATACAAAACTTTTGCCAAACCAATTCTTCAATACAGCTCATCCGCCTGGAATCCACACTGTATATTGGACATTAACACAACTGAGCGGGTCCAGAGGTATTTCATGAGAAGAGTACTCCACTCCTCTACTCACAATAGAATCCCTTATGCCACTAGACTTTAAATTTTGGGCTTGGACAATCTGGAACTGCACCGCCTGCGGTCTGATCTAAGCAGAATACACAAAATTATCTGCTAAAACATCTTATCTGTCAATGACTTCTTCAGCTTCAATCACAATAATACACGGGCAAACAACTGATACAAACTCAAGGTAAACTGCTCCAAACTCGATTGCAGAAAATATGATTTCAGCAACAGAGTGGTCAATGCCTGGAATGCTCTACCTGACTCCGTTGTTACCCTCACAGTTTCAACCTCCAACTGTCTGCCATGGACCTCAGCCCATTCCTAAGAGGTCCTTAAAGGGGGCATGCATAAGCGTACCAGCGTGCCTACCATCCCTGTCCTACTGTCCCCATTTATCTGTATGTACTTCCTTTGTTTATGTTTATACCTATACCTGCTATCTTGTACATGTTTGACAAATAAATAAACAAATAAACAAACAAATAAATAAATAAATAACCTGTTCACCACTTAATTTCTGAAGTATTTCTATTTCAGTGTCCTTCATTCTATATATGATAACTTGACCGGTGTGATTATAACGAGGTTGCCCTGCAATGTATAGCAGATCTCCAGGTACAGAAGCTGAATTGACTGTATAACCTAAGGAATCAGAGAATAAGCACTCATTATACTCATAGCATTTAATAGCTAGTTTTGCTTTACATGCATACATTTGTCTTAGCAAATTGCCTATGTGCCCAACATTTTTTAAACCCTCATTCTAGCCCACAAAATCTGAAAGAGACTTGTCAGAAAAAATACTGATTCTTCTTTAGCAAAATGTCTCCTGTTTTTTGTACCTGTTTGTAGAAATAGTTTCCACCAATTTATAAATAACAAGTATTTCTGGGTTTCCCAAGGAATTCCTGTTATGCCAACTTTCCCTAATATGAGTGCCCTCCAAGTATATGAATATCAGTTTCTGGTTTTCAGTCCAAGCTAGCTGGTGGTTTCTGAGAGTTGAAATTTAGATTATGGAAAGTTGTATTATCCACATTTTAATTATCTGATTCAGAAGCTGATGATAAGACCATTTACCTTCTCCCAATAATTTGTGCCTATCCACTAAAAAATTAGTTTGAGTTGTCTCTGTTCTCTGAAATAGCATCCCCTGGAATCAGGTTGTTGTGTATGCTTTTTGGTGTTCCATAAGGCCACTCATTAATTGAACACACCAGTAAATTTCACATTTATGTTATTTAAGAACTCCTAGCTGAAGAACATGTAAAGTCAATTATTTTTTTTGCTTTCAATTTGTGGGAAAATTTAAGACTTTATATCTTATTATTTGGGACAGGGAATCTGAAGGGTGACCTTGAAGAAAATAGGCAACTACTGTCACATAAACAAAGAGGGTTGAAGCATTCCTTAAATTCTGTGAAAGGAGATAGTATTTGAAGAGACCCAGACAGGCTTCTCCATGGTTCACTGAGATATAAAAGGGAGGAGAGGGGAAAGCACAATAGGACTTGTTGTTATTATAGCCTATCTCAATATATATAGTTGTAGTCTTCCAGTGGCACTCATTTTCTGACCTGGTTTATTCCATAGGGCATAACACTCATTAACCCTCATTTTCTTCCTCCAAATTGAACATTGTATCTGCAGGGCTGTAGAATACAGCCAGAAATAATTCATTCAGGAGAGACAGAGACAGAGAGAGACACGGAGAGACGGAGATGGAGATGGGGAGACCGAGGGAGGGAGGGAGAGAGAGAGAGGGAGAGAGAGAGAGAGAGAGAGAGAGGGAGAGACTCCAAAGCCAATACATTAGGGTGGCTTGTTTTAGAAAGGATTGATCTGGAAAGTGAACCTTTCTAAAGTCAAAAGAAGTCCATGTACTGGCCTAGATTCCCTATAACATATCTAAAATACAATATGTTGGAGTGAAATGGCCAGAATTTTAGGAGGCCTCTTGAATTTAATTTTTAAATATGATTTCCTAAATTTAATTTGATTCATAAAAATAAAAAGAAGAAAGTGTCTTTTAGTAGAAGCTCTTCCATTCTCTGAATCTAATCTACAACACAACCATTGATATCTGGTTGGGAAAACTACCCTTGATTAAAATACTTTGGACTGGCATAGATTATCATAAGAATAGGACAACCAGAAGTCAATTTTGCTTACCTAAGTACGCTGCAAGACTTTCATTTCTTTCTGAAAAGCTATCATCAAATGCGTTACTTGTTGGTGTTAGAAAATTGCTGTCCTTTAACATGACAACCGTCCCATTCCAGTCATATGCCCCAACTGCTCCAAGCATGATCCAGTCCTTTACAAACATAGCAGAGAAATCATTGCATTACTATATTTTCGGAGATATTTATCCTGTGGAATAAACCAAAAAAGCGACTATGCTGGGCAACCAGTTTATGGGCGAACAATGTAGAGCAGGATTGTCAAATTCAATTTCATTGAGGGGAGTGGGGGGTGTGGTCGGGGTAGGCGTGGCCATGGTGGGTGTTTGACACAGGCTCAAGATGCATTTTTTTCCCCTTTGCATTCAAAACAATTATTCCAGACAAAGGGAGATTTACTTTCTGGCACAAATAGTCTCAATTCCATAATCTAGAGATTAGAGACATGTAGAGTCCCCAGCTGCTATGGGGCTTGACTCTTCTATAGGAGAAGAGGCAGCATAAATGAACTGACAATTTCTCCAGATGTCTCTAAAAACAACTGTCCAACAGTCTGTCAATCTTTGTTACTACTCTGACACAGCCCTACAGGAGGACTTAATATTAGTAATAATTTACAAAATTGATACACCACCCAATTCTCAATGACCCTGGGTAATCACAATAATCACAATTTTAGCCAGCAGAGGCACCGCGGGCCAGTCCTTTGATATTTCCAGATTGGCCCCGCGAGTTAGATCTAAGCACCCCATGGGCCAAATCTGGCCCACCGGCCTTGAGTTTGACCCCCTGATGTAGAGTAATTCTGTCATTATCAGTATTTGATATATAAGCATAACAAAACAGGAAAAAAAATATGAATTCAGAATCGGTACACCAGCATGTATTTGTTCCAGATGTTTAGTAGGTTCATAATCAGCATCTTTAAATGGAAATTCCTCAATATTTTTTGGTAAATATGAGACATTAGTCAACAGTTTTCCTATTTTAATTTAATCTGATAAGCAAGCATAAAATATAGAATATGGTCTTCTAATTCAACCCCTTGCTCATGCAAGAGACCCTATACCATTCTGGACAAATCCTCGTCCTTGAAAATCTCCATTGATGGAGAACTCACAATTCTGAAGGTAATCTGATTAATTATCTCCCGGTTAGAAAATTTCTTCTTAGTTTTAGACTGTATCTCATCTACGCTAGATTAGGTTAGCATCTCAGATATCATCCTCTTTCATGCATCCTATTCAAATTTCCTTTTACTGTCTTTCACTGTGAGTTATATTGGGTTGGCAGGGTGAATGAAGGGAGGCTCAGCCAATCTCATTGTACACATGTTGTACTCTGACAATAAAGGTTTGAATTGAATTTTGAATTGACTTGAAATTAATCCTAATATATGGAATCATAATTTGATTGCAATTTCAAATCAGTAAGAGTCATCCTGACAGCCCCAGTTTCTGATGCCTACATATTCCTGTTGAATATTTTGAATTGCTGTGATATCCAATAAACTCCATAGGAACATGTTTTATTGTTGCTGTTGTTCAGTTGCTAAATTGTGTCTGACTCTTCACAACCCCATGGACCAAATGGCAACCCACTTCAGTATTGTCAAAAAAACAAAAATAAAAACCCAACTGATGGACGATATCAAAAGGAGCAAGATACTTTCAATAAATAAGTCAAGAGTTCTTGCACTTCACAAACATTATTTTTGATTAGCAAAATGTATTGTAACATTTCTCTCTGGATAAAATATAATATACCCCATTTTTTTTTCTTTCTAGTCACTTTACCTGAGAATAATGGGCACTGAAGCCAACTTGAGACATTTCCATTTCAAAAGAAGCTGCCTGTTGATCATTGGTAGCTATAAAACAGGAAATATTTATTGTTTTAGCATAGTTGACTGAAAATGCTAAAAATGACTGTAAAAAATAGGAAACAAGAAAAGACTAAATTTAGGGTTAGGAATGTCCAGGCTGACCAATGAATTAAATATTTAGATATGTCTCTAGAGAAGTCAGTGTGGTATCTGGAGTCCATAGTTACCATAGAGATGCCTAGGGTCACATCTGGCTTTGAGGCCACAATTTTCCACATGCATACTGGTTACAGTAGATAAAACATTTAATTAATCAGAAAAGCACAAATTTACACCCAACTTTTCACTTGCTGCAATATGTAACAAGTTTTACCATCCTTGAAATTCTCTGAATTAACTTTGAAAGATTTGTTTTAGATCAGGGGTCCTCAACCTTTTGGACCTCAGGGACCACTAAATTCATAATTTTAAATCCTGCGGACCACTAATATGATCTGCCTAATGATCAGCTGGGTGGGCGTGGTTAGGTGGTCATGTGACTGGGTAGGCGTGGCCAATTCAATGTCACTCGTGTCAAGGGGCGCCTCGCCGGCCTCTATTCACCCCTCTCCTCCCAGCCACGCCTCGCCTGCCTGCCCAGGCTCCTTAGGGCCCCAGCAGGAAGCAGTTGTTGGAGCTAAGCAGCCACCATGAGAAAAGTTGATAAAACAGCTGGCTCAGTTCAAATTGGATCTGACTGAGAAGGAGGCTCAGCAGAAGCACCTCACTGAGGACTACAAGCATAGGCTTTCCAAGCAGAGGGAAAACCTGAGGGAGTGCCAGGTACCAGCACCTGGAGGCTCAGCAGGCTGAGATCGTCAGCCAGGTCCAGGCCATGGTGCTGTCCCACTAGAAGAAGGCCCTCTGGCTTTTCACTACCAGCAGCACTTCCCTCCAGCCTTCGCCCAAAGCCCCATACCAGGAGGCTAAAGCAGACTCCGAGTTGGAATTTCTGTCTCCCTCCAACCCACACAAGAAGACCCAAAGGGGGAGACTCTCTGCAGCAACACAAGCGTTCATTGCATGTATCCGGCCCAAAGGCCATAGTTTGAGGACCCCTGATTTAGTGCAATATAAAAAATGCAAATAATTTTTCTGCGGACCACCAAAATTTTCTTTCAGAGCACCAGTGGTCCACAGACCACCAGTTGGTGACCGCTGTTTTAGATGAAGTTCATTATAGTTTAACCTAAGACCGGTTCTGCCTCAAGCTTCTTTTGGAAATTAAGACTCTCAAAGAGTACATTCGTGCTTTGGTTCAACATTCTTTTCAAAGAATTCCAGTTAAATTCTAATTACTGGAATGTGAAAAATGCTGTTTCTGTAAAAATATCACATAATTATATTTCTAGCAGGAAGAAAGGCAATTTCTCAGAGACCAAAAATACAGCAAAACTTGGAATCTTTGGTATGCAGGAAAAAGGAAGGCGGAAACTCCTTAGCAATTCACAGAGTATATTTAAAAGTTATGCAGATATATATGGAAATTCTCAGTCATCCAGATTATGGTTGTCCCAATGGTGCTTTTTCAAGAGGCAACTGGACTTTCTGGTTTTCCTTTGGAGACGTTTCGATTCTCATCCATCCAGTCAGAGCTGAAGAAGCTTCTTGGATGAGAAGGGAAACGTCTTCAACAAAAAACCAGGAAGTCCAGTTGCCTCTTGAAAAGCATCTTTGGGACAGTTATGCAGATAGTTGTTTTAGTCTGGCAAGATTTCTGTCAACAGGCAAATATAATAAATAAATTAGTCAGAAGTAACTCCAGGTGTCGTTCTTGGTTCCTTAAGCCTAACATTAATGTTGCCAGACTTTGTACTCCTAAGAAGAAGGGAAATCTTGAGAATGGCGACAGACCTGCAGGAAGCACCAAGTTCTTTGCAGCAGCTAGCAGGTTCAATAAAACTGATTGATTAATAAAAGCGGTAGGTGAATTTTTTCAATGAAAGGTCAGCACCTGCTTAGAGTAGATAAGGGTTAATGGCACTCAAGGGGGGGTTGGACATAGTTTTCTTGTGGCTACATAGGGATTCTTGGCTGATCCCTCTTTTCACCCCACCCACAGGTTTGGCCATCTCTTCACATACAGTCAGATGCACTGCCATCCTCCATGTCTGAGGAATCATCCCTGCCAGGCAGCTCCTTGGAGGAAGCCATTCTCCTGGCTGCTCCTAGCTGCATCATCACTTCTGCTCTAGGTCTGGAATCACCGGTATCACTAGGTGGCTCAATGGCTAAGACACTGAGCTTGTCGATCAGAAAGGTCAGCAGTTTGGCGGTTCGAATCCCTAGTATAGGTCTCTTGCGTGAGCAGAGGGTTGGACTAGATCACCTCCAAGGTCCCTTCCAACTCTGTTACTGTTACTATACAGCAGTAGTGTGGGAAGAGGTCTCATGAAACTCTATTTAAACTGGGTTTGTATATCCCTCCCTGACTGTTTCAACTTATTCTAGTCAGGCATCTATCACGCAACACTGGTACAATCCCTCCAAAGTCTATGGAAAGTTCCATGTCATTATTTCATACTGCTTAAAAAAATCGTGCCACAGTTTATTTAAACATGCATTTTCCCCCTCTTCACACAGTATGGAAATTGCAAGGAAAACTGGGGCTACATGTGGTGCTTTCCCTTTTGTGCATATATAACTTCCTTGGAATGCAGCCCATGTTTATAAACAAAACAGTGATTACTTTTGCATAAAACAGAAGCAATACGGTATATATATGTTAATTGAGATAAACTACAACCCTGGAAGCCCTTAGATTCAAACATGATTTTCATAAAAACCATAACATTTGAATAAGGTTCATAACCTAATATTAGTAATAAAATAGCAATTCATATATCTTAATGAGTGTGTTTTATATTTATTGTCTTCCCGGCACACATGGTTGTGTTATTCATAAAGAAGCTTAGTCTGATTATTCAGAAAAGATGGACATAAAGTATAAACGTGAAATATACACAGATGTTTTCCTTGCTAGGGAATATAATCACTTACACATTACTTGGATTGCTGCCTAACATTTTAAAGCATTAGTAGTGCATTAAGCACTGCAGAGAAGAACGGAAGCAATCTCCTTCTGCCAAGATAGTTTATAAATGAAGGATAGGATATGGATAGGGATTGTAAAGGATTAAGGACAACCAAATGTAGGAAATTGACTAATATGGAACATGTCACAGTTTAAGTGACAGAAAATTCAGAATGTCAGATAAAAAGGTATCGGTTCAGTTTTGTAAAGTTATGATTCCAGAAAAAGGGAGGGAGGGAGGGAGGAAGGAAGGTACAGTCAGAGGTGGGATTCAGCCGGTTCTGTCCGGTTCGGGCTAACCGGTACTGGCGACTGCAGGAGGCTCTGCCCACCCACCCGGACATAATGTGCGATCACAGAGCATGCACACACGCACTCACATTTGTGAAGTGGTAGGGAAGATAAGTGAATCTCACCTCTGCATACAGTTCATCAATTCTCATGTATGAATTGGTATGATTGGGGCATTTATGTTACATGTTTTTTACTTGAATCTGAGATATAAATGGTACAGTTTGGCCCTAATTGTGACCTAGAGCAGCATGGAAGGAAAATGGATCAAGTGCATGGAAGGACATCATCCAGGTTCAGAGATGCCACCTCAATGAGAAGGCATGAGGACAGAGCTTAAAATAAAGGACTTATTTTTCCCTAGCATAGCACCCTTCCTGATTAGGATTGCAACTCCTAGAATCCCCCAAATGTGCATGAACCCTAGAGGATTTAATATCTGCACTTCAGCCATACAGTGTCCTACAGTATATACAGAGGACAACAATGGTTTTATAGCTGAAAAAGATTTAAACACAATAACAGGTAACTAGCTCAAGACTTTAATCTGCAGATTCATCTACACAGAAGATTAACCAATCCTCCCCATTAATAGAAATCCTGCCTGTGCAATCCCATCACATTTTCTCCAATGAGGGTTGTCTCTCTTAATTGACTGTTCCCTAGGCAGCATTACTTCAACCCTTCTCTCAAGGTCTCTCTCACATAACATCAGTGGTGAGCTGCTGCCGGTTCAGACTCGTTCGGGCATACCAGTAGTTCTGACGATCACTGGCTTCACCCACCCACCCACCCACCCCCACCCTATCCTGTCCTATATTTCCTTCTTTCTGGCTCAGCTGATTCGCGCAGCACAGCTGATTTCTGCGCTGTTCTACTTATCGGTGCTGTCTTAGAAGGTAAGCAGCTGAGCTTCAAATTGTTGTATTTTGAACGCTGCACGCAAGTGTGTTAGGTGGCATGCATGCAAAGCACATTTGCGCATGCAAAGCACACGCTCACAGAACCGATTGTTAAACCCGTTGCAGCCCACCACTGCATAGCATCACCATTTCTGTTGTCACACAGACCATCCCAGTTAAGAATCCATTTGTGATCTAGAAGGCTAGCATTGGCTCACTACCAGACCCTACTTTCAGGCTGCAATTTTGGGAGAAAAAGAGGAGATTTTTTTTTCTTTTTCGTTAACCTGCTAATTCTGCTCAGTGCACGGCTGCTGCAAATTAAAATTACCAACACAAAAATACACTTCCCAGAACTTCCAGTAATAAAGTACTTCTCCACTCCAATCTTAACTCCTCTAACCAATGGATTTTGAGTAAGAATTATTCTATAAATGGAGTAGGTATCCATCCTAATACAGCAATTATTTGCTTACAACAAACAAAAAGATCAAATACACTAATAAAACAACAAAACACCAGAAGCAGAGGGGGGAAAAAACCCATACCTTCCAAAGCAAATATTCTTTCACCAAGAGCTTCAACAATTGTAAGCAGAGCTACTTCATTTGAGACATTAAAAAAATGCTTTTCAGTTGGCTTGCTTGCAATGGATTTGATTTCCTCCACTAATTTCTCAGGGTTTCGATTCCCTCTGTTATAGGAGCCAAGAATCTGTAACATGCGGGGGGGGGGGGGGGGAAATGAAGAAGCAATTTTTAAAAGTAGTGATAAATATGTTCCTAGTAGCTTACAATTAGTAATACGTAAGAAACATAAAATGGCATAGTCAGAGGGCCTGTCATAGACTTCAGTCTCTAGATAAATGCAGTGGTAGTGGTTAACCCAAACTAACAGCATTCAGATATGGACCAAGCATGTGCTAATCAGAAGTTTCCCACCATAAGAACAATCTAGGATGACCTTCCCTAACCTGCTACCTTTGTGTTAAGATTATAAGACTCAAAATTCACAAACAATAAGTATTGTGGATTTTGGAAGTGTCTATGTGTGTTGAATATCATCCATATTATGAAAAAAAAAATACAGAAGGTAACCATGACCAGCTCTATATAGATTAAACATGGAATTATTATTGCCTGGTAGAATATCACCATATCTGAAAAATCAATCCCACAGACACATTGATTCAATTACATGTAGCTATAACATAGTAGGGGTGTGGTGGCTCAGTGGCTAAGATGCTGAGCTTGTCGATTGAAAGGTCGGCAGTTCAGCGGTTCGAATCCCTAGTGCTGCATAACGGGGTGAGCTCCTGTTACTTGTCCCAGATTCTGCCAACCTAGCAGTTCAAAAGCACGTAAAAAATGGAAGTAGAAAAATAGGGACCACCTTTGGTGGGAAGGTTACAGCATTCCGTGCACCTTTGGTGTTTAGTCATGCTGGCCACATGACCACAGAGACGTCATCAGCTTTGAAATGGAGATGAGCACCGCTCCTATAGTCAGGAACTACTAGCACATATATGCAAGGGGAACCTTTACCTTTACCTATAACAAATAGCAAATATTAAGATTTTGGACTGGGAAGTCTCATTCTAATCTCCCCAGATCCATGGAAAAACATAGGATGACTTCGGGCCAGTTGCTTTCTCTTAGCCTGATTTATCTTAGATAATTGTTGTTAAGCAAGAAAATAGGAGAATGTCCACTATATATTCAAGATACATGTATATGTATCTTAAGCTACTGTAGAAAAAGTGGGATATACATCTAATTAAAAAATGTGTGAAACAATGGCCTGGGTTATCTTGCGGCAACAATTTTCCATTGTTTATCCTCAGCAGTCAAAGAGAAATGGAAGAACACACCATTAATATTAAAAATAGAGTCAACATGTACTTTAAAGAAAAATATGGACCCAATCAGTAATGAATAAAAATTAGCATGTAGCTAATATTGAAAGAGTACTAACTCATCAAAAAAAGAGATTCTTTCTTCAAGGCAAACTGAAAGACAGAGGAAGAATCATTTCTAGATATACAGTGCAGTTTTTCTACTAAACATCACTTACAGCAATAGAAAATCTCTGTATATTGTCTTTTTCACAATCCTCAATCACTTTTTGTAATCGGTAATTGTCATGAGATTCTCCATCAGTCACAACTACCATGACTTTTTGAACCCCTGGGCGGGCCCCATGAGCTTCTGTAAATGCTTCATTCCTAAAATGAGAGTGAAAACCTGTAAATCTGCAGACTGCAGACAAGGACAAAACATAAATATCAACATCAGTAGGAAAAAAAAATAGTGGGTGATTCTATAGGCCTTTGGTTTGAATTTTCAGGATTCCCTTTCTATTCTTAAAGTCAAGTTGTACATGGGCAAGCCTGTGGAAGATCAGCATAGTTCTTTATGTAGGTTGATACTTGTTTATAAGTCTGTAAGGCACCTACCTACCCAGCCCTCTCAATTCCTGGCAAATAGATGGGGAAGAAATGGAGGTAGTGACAGATTTTATTTTCCTGGGCTCCAAGATCACCGCAGATGGGGACTGCAGCCAAGAAATTAAAAGACACTTGATCCTGGGGAGGAAAGCTATGGCAAATCTAGATAGCATACGAAAAAGCAGAGACATCACCCTGCCAACAAAAGTGTGTATAGTCAAGGCTATGGTTTTCCCAGTTGCAATGTATGGCTGTGAAAGTTGGACCATAAGGAAGGCTGAGCACCAAAGAATTGAGACCTTTGAACTATGGTGCTGGAGAAGACTCCTGCGAGTCCCTTGGATTGCAAGGTGATCAAACCAGTCAGTCCTAGAGGAGATCAACCCTGACTTCTCTTTAGAAGGCCAGATCCTGAAGATGAAACTCAAATACTTTAGCCACCTAATGAGAAGGAAGGACTCGCTGGAGAAGAGCCTAATGCTGAGAACAATTGAGGGCAAAAGAAGAATGGGACGACAGAGAATGAGGTGGCTGGATGGAGTCACTGAAGCAGTAGGCGTGAGCTTAAATAGACTCCAGAACATGGTAGAGGACAGGAAGGCCTGGAGGAATGTTGTCCATGGGGCCACGATGGGTTGACACGACTTCGCAACTAACAACAACAAAGGCACCTACCTTGCTGTCTCAATGCCAAGAGCTGTCATGGTCTCAAATCCTTCTCTCTGCTTAATTTTGCCTGCTGCTACAAGCACTTCTTCTGTGGTTGAATATGCGTTGAGATAAAATTCATGGGTTACATTTTCACCATATTGAACAATCCCAACCTGGAATACAAAATCTTCTGCTGAAGAAGTTTTCACAACAATGCCATCACTCATAAAGACAGCAACTGAAGAATTTACCTTTCAGTTAAAACAGAAGACCACCCACACAATGAGAGCTTTTTTGTTTTATATGGTAAACCAGAAATGTGTTTTACTAAGAATAAACATTAGGCTGTTGGGCAGAGTTCAGTTACACAGACTTGACTCTTCTTGCCACCTGAAGCATCTAAATACTGTAGATCATATACAGCCTCCTTCTCACTTGTTTGCAGACTTGGAGCCAGTCTGTTTCACCATGTTCCATCCAGCCTGTATCTTGTTGTCTGTTAGATCGGGCGCAGGAAAAGGAAGACTGGACCAGCTCGATACATTAATAACTTTATTAGGTACAAAGTAACGAGTCAAGACTGCTGGCGCGCTGCCGGAGCTCTCCTTATATTCGCTCCCGGCAGACGCACCGCCCCTTGACAGGGATTCAAATCTCCCGCCCGATGGCTAGCAGCCAATCAGGGCGGATGTCCTTATAAGGACATAACACTCCTCCCCCCTTAGTCCGAACTGTCAAATCTCGTCCACAAAAGTCACGTAATCGCGCAGGTACGTAGGACGCCTCAGCACCCTAGCTGACCTGCGCAGTCTCACTTCTTCTCCGTCTCCGGCCTGGATGGACGGGGCTCCTTCGTCTCCTGGTTCCCTCTCCGGAACCGGGCTCGGTTCGGCTGTCGAGTGAGCGGGGTCACCCCCAGCGCCTCCGGCCGGACCGCAGACCTTGGGTGGCTGGTTCTGTTGGTCTTCCTCCTGGCCTGTGGATCTATCGCCTCGTCTCGGTTGCTCGGTTCCGACCCAGGAAGAGCGTCTGAGTCTCGGTAAGTCTGTCGCTTGCTCCTCCCTGGTCTCCCGGGGGCTGCGGTTCGGTCGCGGTCCGGCCTGCTGCCGGTTGGGTGGTGGTTCCGCTCGGTGCCCTCGGGTCCGGTCCGCCAGCTGTGGGTGGTGCTGGTTGTCGTTGTGCTGTCCGACCTCGCAGGGGTGGTGTTGGTCCCCTTGGTTGGGCTGGTGTTGGTCTACCCCGTCTGGTTGGCGGTGGTCGACCTGGTCAGGACGTTGTTGCGGGACTACCTCTGCGGAGCGGCGGAGGTCTCCCCTGCCGGGGTGGTGTAGGTCTCCCTGGCTGGGTTGTTGTTGGCTTTCCCTTCCCCCTAGTCCCTGGTCTACCGTCGGGTGGTGCCTGGGGTCATCCGGGTCGGGTTGTTGTTTCCTGGCTGTCTTCTGCGATGGGTGGGGGTCCCTCTCGCCGGGGAGTCGTATGCCACCCTCGCCCATGGGTAGTGGGTTGCCCGTCTTGGCTGGGTCCCGGTCTACTCGCCTGGAACTGTGGTCTCCCTGGCTGGGCTGGCGTCGGCTGGCGTCACTGGTGGGGTGCGCTGCTCCTTCTCTGGGCAGGTCCCGGTCTACTTGTGGGCTGGATTGGTAGTCCCTGGCCCTGTTGTGCCGGGTGCCCACCTGGCTGGGTTGGTGTTGCCATCCCCCGTGCGGTTGGCCCCGGTCTACCTCGCTGGACTGCCGACGTGACAGTACCTGGTAGTGTGCCGGGCCGACCTTGTCGGGATGGCGTTGCTCTGCCTTGCAGTGGTGTGGTAGGCCTACCTCATCTGGGTGTTGTAGGCCTACCTCGCCGGGGTGTTGTAGGCCTACCTCGTCTGGGTGTGGTAGGTCTACCTCGCCGGGGTGTTGGAGGCCTACCTCGTCTGGGTGTTGTAGGCCTCCCTCGTCAGGTTGGTTTTCATGTGCTCCCCCCCACCTTTTCCGGAGTTGGTCGATGTGGCGTCTACAGACCTGTCCATCTTCCAACTCGACGGTGTAGGATTTGGGGCCGGTTGTGCTGGCAATCTTCCCCTTCAGCCACTTAGGAGAGCCATTGAAATTCAGCGCGAAAACTGAATCTCCGTTGCTGAAGGCGCGAAGCGGGCGGCTGGCGGTTGCGGTCACTTCCGGGCTGTATTGGGGGTGCAGCCGGTCCAAGGGTGACCTCAACCTTCTGCCCATCAGCATTTCGGCCGGGCTCTTGTGGGTGGTGGCATGTGGCGTGATGTGCTGGGTGAGGAGGAAGTTGTCTATGCGTTCTTGCCAGTCTCCCGGGCCCACCTTGGTGAGGGCTTCTTTGGTCAGTCTGACCATGCGTTCAGCTTGTCCGTTTCCGGCCGGCCTGTAAGGGGCGGACAGGGCGTGGCGGATGCCCAGTCCTGCCAGGAAGGACTCCATGGCCAGGGATGTGAGCTGGGGGCCATTGTCCGAGACCAGCACGTCCGGTAGTCCATGTGTGGCGAACAGGCGGCGCAAGGCTCAGATCGTCGCTTCTGTTGTGGTAGATGCCATGGGTACCACCTCGAGCCACTTGGAGAAGGCATCTACCACGATGAGGAGGTGTCGCCCCTGCATCGGACCCGCGAAGTCGATGTGGATCCTCGACCAGGGGTTGCTGGGGGTCTCCCACTTTGCGACTTCGGATTGCGGCGGTGCTGGGCGAACTTCTTGGCACGGGTCACATCTGGAGACCCATTTCTCAATGTCTTTGTCCATGGAGGGCCACCAGACGTAGCTCCGTGCCAGGGCCTTCATGCGGACGATGCCCGGGTGCCCTTTGTGCAGAGTCTCTAACGTCCGCCGTTGCAGAGTGCTTGGGATCAGCACCCTGTCTCCCCATAGCAGACAGCCCTTTATGGTGGACAGCTCCTTCTGTTTCCTGGCAAACGGGCTGAACTTTTCCTCTGGCTTTTCCGATGGCCACCCTCTGAGGATCCAGGACTTCACTTGGCGGAGTGTGGGGTCCTTTTGGGTGTGAACGGCCACATCTGCGGATGACACCGGACAGCTGGCGTCGTCGTCAATATGGAATAGGTGGAGCGTGGGGGCTGGGTCTTCGACTGGATTTTTCGACGGACATCTGCTGAGCGCGTCGGCGTTTCCTATGGCTGTGCCTGGCTGGTGCACGAGCCGGTAGGAGTAGCCGGCTAGGAAGATGGCCCATCTCGTCATCCGTGGAGACATGAAGGTCGGGGTGGGTTGGTCGCCTGCAAGGAGTCCCAGGAGTGGCTTGTGGTCGGTGACTATGGTGAAGCGTCTTCCGTAGAGGTATTCGTGGAAGCGCTTCACTCCAGCCACGATGGCCAGGGCTTCTTTGTCCAGCTGACTGTAGTTCCGTTCTGCGCCGGACATGGTCTTTGAGAAGAAGGCAATGGGGGCTTCCGTGCCGTTGGGCAGTTGTGTGGCTGAGGACTGCCCCCACCCCATACGGCGACGCATCACAGGTCAGCTTGATGGGCAGTGTCTCACTGTATTGAATGAGGACGCTTTTGGACGTCAATAGTCCCTTGATGGCCCGGAACGCTGCTTCCTCTTCCTGGCCCCACTTCCAGGAAGCCAATTTCCCCAGCAGGCGGTGGAGTGGCTCAGCAACTGTGGCTTTCTGTTTTAAGAAAATGGCGTAGAAGTTGAGCAACCCAAGGAAAGCCTGAAGCTCCGTTTTGTTTTTTGGGCTTGGAGCTTCATGGATTGCTTCCACTTTTGATTTGGTGGGGTGGATGCCAGTGCTATCAATGAGATAGCCCAGGAACCCAACTTCCTGTACTCCTATGATGCACTTGTCCGGTCTGACCCTCAAGCCCTTGGCCTTGAATCGCTGCAGGACAAGCCTGAGCCTTTCAAGGAGTTGAGCTCTTGAGTCACCGGAGATGAGCACATCGTCGAAGTAAGGCACCACCCCTGGAACGCCTTGGAGAAGGCGTTCCATCATAGATTGGAAGATGCCGGGGGCAGCGCTGACTCCAAATTGGAGGCGGTTACATTTGAATGCCCCTGTGCGTGACAATTGTTTGTGCCTCCGCCGTTTTTTCATCCACTGGCAGTTGCTGGTAAGCCTGGGCCAGGTCCAGTTTCGCGAAAATTGAGCCAGACCCCAGGGAATGCAACAGGTGTTGCACCACTGGGACTGGGTATGCGCTTTGTGCCAACGCCTTGTTGATGGTACAATGGTAGTCGGCGCAGATGCGCACAGACCCATCATGCTTCAGTGGGGTCACAATGGGAGTCTCCCATGAGGCATGATCGATCGGTTCCAGGACGCCCTGGGCGATCAGCTTATCCAGCTGTTCGTCTACTTTAGGCCGCAGGGCAAACGGAACTCGGCGGGGCTTAAGCCTAATTGGGGTGATTCCCTTATCCAGATTAAACGAGATTGGCCTCCCCACAAATCTCCCCAGCTTACCATCGAAGACTTCCTTGAACTCTTCGATGATGGTGTCGAGTTCGTCCCTGTGGATTTCGTGGATGCCCTCGATGGAAAGCCCCAGCGGCTTAAACCACTCCACACCTAACAGGTTCGGTCGACTGTGCTCCACGATAGTGATGGGCAGCTCTCCGTTGAACTCGTTGTACTTGATGTGGATGGTGGCTCTGCCCAGGATTCCAATGGGGTTGCCGTTGAAGTCCACAAGCCTCGACTTTGGGGTTTTCAGCTGGGCCTTTTTGTAGGATGGCTTCAGCTGCTTTAGGTGCTGCCAGTCCATGATAGAGTAGGCGGATCCGGAGTCTACCTCCATCTTGCACGGTGACCCCTCTGCCAGCAGCGTCACGTGGAATTTGGTGGACCCCTCGTCACTTGTGTGAGCAATGATGGTGGTCTGGTGCACCGTTCTGTTTCGGGGATATTCCTCCTCCCCGCGCCGGGACTGGGTTGAGGACCGTTTGGATGTCCTCTGATTGTCTTTGCGATTCTCCCGGAATCGTGGTCTGGGCGGTTCCGGGGCTGGATCTGTGGCTCTGCAGGCCTCGGCGATGTGCCCCCTCTTCAGGCATCAGCGGCAGGTCGCGTCCCTCCATCTGCAGTTTGCCCTGGGGTGGTCGCCTCTGCAGCTGCCGCATCGTTCTCCCCGGTCGCCATGCTGTGGGTTTTCCCGCCTGGGGGGGGCGGGAAACCTTGTGGACGGCCATTTCCTCATCAGACT